AAAATCTTGGTATGCTCTAGATATTCCCTCACTGAATGAATCAGTCCAGTGATTGTCATAGTTGTTGCTTGTATCCCATGATGTCCGCATTACATTCTCAATACATCCCCACAAAATGGTTGATGAAAAGTAAACCTTCCAACCATCATTATACGCGCGAAAGATTTACACAGATAGATCATGATCATCCCGCTATCCCATCATCGTTCCAAACATGGCTGGGAAATTCACAACATGAAGCTTTATAGCTGGGAAAATCATTGAACTAAATGTTTTTTTTCCAGCACGCCATGTTTGATGACCGGAGGAGGCTATGCACATCCTCGCCACCCCGTATTGAAAGGATCCATGCTACAGCCAGCAGTCGGGCACTAGGATTCCCCCAAGATCTGCAAACATCACCCCATTTCACCGATATAGGTCATACCTCAGTTGCAGGTAGGTTTATACCCTGTATATATATATATATATACATACATACATACATACACACTTATATCTTTATCATTGTAAGCACCGCTTTGTCAATGATAGATTCTGCACCCTGCCGGTGCAAGATGTTTCTATCCATTATAGTTTAAGTTCTAACTCCCTTTGTAGATGAACACACCAAGCCAACATGATATTACTAATCCAAACTATTTGCGGGGCAGACCCCCATCACCCTTGGCATTTGTCCGCGTTTTTTTTGGCCTGGAAACCAACTACCCTTTGCCCCATACCCTGGTACAAACCCTTCGACGCTCACCGATCCCTTTCAAGATCCTCCAGCACTTCTATGCTGGAGTCCCCTTCTTCACATATCATTTTCATTATTCTTAAGTATCATTGTGGGGTTACCAACCATATACCAACAACCATAACCACTAACCACTGTATTGGCCAATCCATCAATTAAACCGATTGTTCAATATTGGGTTGCCAACCACTCACCACAACCTATCACCTGACCTCTCCGGTGAAAGTCACCCAACGCCTCACACGCCACGTGACGCATGGCCATTGGACTGCTTCGCCACTCCTGTCTTCTGTGTGGCTTTGATCACCACTTCCGCGCCCACGTCGATGGCCATGGCGTAAACACGGCCGAAGCGCTGAGCCAAGGCTCTTCGGAGATGGATATGGGATATGGGGGCACCCCTATGGCTGGATGGTTTATTTATGTTTACTTCATGGAAAATCCAAAACAAAAATGGATCGTTCATCATTTTCACACATGTTCACTGGATTGGTTGAAGGGAAAAATGAAACCGGAAAACCCTATATCTCATGGGGAAAACCATGGTTTCCAGTTAAGCGATTCCCTTCAACAATCTGAACAAATATGGAAACTATGAATGGAAATAGACACAATGTTTTTTTTGGATAACCTGATAACATCTGATAACAATGGATAACTTTCGCCCTGTGAAATAGAATAACTATGTTTTTTTTGGATATGACAGGTATGATTTATGGGAATAATTGATGGGATATAACAAAACGGCCATTTTCATACGGGTTCTTCCATAGCGACTTCAGAGCCTGGAATCTGCCATCAAACCGCTGTGAAATGATGCAGATATCAAGAAACAATGGGGGAGAAGAGTCCAACACAGTCAAACAAAAGCTAAGAGTTGGGTCCAAGAAATTACCCTCTGGTAACTTAACATAGCTATTGAAAATGGTCCATTTATATTTACCTATTAATAGCATGGTGATTTTCCATAGTTTTTTGTATGTTTGCCAGAGGGTATCTTCCACATGGATTTTTTTCATCCCATGTTTGGATAACAATTAAACGCCGCTAATATGCTTTGCTGCTGGAGAGCTGGGCTGGTGTTCAGAAGTCCTGCGCCAGTTGGTAACTATGAAACTAACTACAGGATGGTGCCCCCAGTTATGTCTCTTGGTTTATAAACCCCCAAAAACTAGCTCGTTATCCCAGTTATAAGTTGGTTTATAAACCCCATTAACATCCAATAACTATAGTTATATCATGTTATATCTAGCATAAACCATAGTTCATTCAGCCACTTTTCAGCTCGGCAACGAACTATGAAACACTGTGGGAATCCCCTGGTTTTTTTCATGGGATTTCTACCATCTACCAGTGATTTCGAGGTGTCCAAAGCGAAAACGCGAGCACACTGGTTCTCACCTCACGCTATTTCATGCCCATTTGGACATGATGTCGTATATGTGTATATATACATATATTATATAATATACATATATATATATACATATGTATATATATATATGTATATATATATGTATATATATATATGCATATTATATAAAATACTATATTAATACATACACACATACCATCTTTCCAATGACGTCACGCCGTTGCTATCATTTGACCAAAAAGATCTCCATTAAATTCATGAAATTCAAACAAATCACGGAGATCTCATTAAAGTTCCCATTCCCAATATATATATATATATATGATATCCCACGATATCCCATACAGTAGCCTCTGGTAAACTAACAGTTTGCGAACTGGAAAATCACCATTTTTAGTAGGTAAATCAACTATTTCTATGGTTTACCATGCAGTCATTCATTATCCCACAGGATGACAGTGCTCCATCTAAGCTTCCCAACATGTTTGCCCTTCGGCTCCTGCGGCTCCACTCTGAGTCATTGGAAAAAACGTGGTGGTAGATGTGGTAGTATAGCCACCCATGGGAAAACCCTAGGAAAACCATGGGAAAGTGGTGAAAACCATAGGAAAACCCTAGGAAAACCACCAAGAATGGGAAACACCATGATAGTGGGAGGATAGTGTATGATAATGCTGTTGTTGATGATGATGAACGCCTCAGTGTGGACACACTGTTTGGGGAACCACCAATCTTGGGGGTACCATGTTTTCAGAGAAACCCGGTGTTTTTGAGGGTCTTAAATGCCATTACATTCTCTAGATGGAACACTTTTGCCAAATCAACTTTGGACTTTTCTGGAATCATGCACGGGTCGGTTTAAAGGACATTTTACAGTATTCCCCTTGTTTATAGGGTTTCCTGATGTTTTCTGTATAATTTCCCTTCATAGATTTCTGGGAAACAAGACGCCACTATTTCCCCCATATCTCGCTAAGAACTTGCTGGTAGCACCTATCAGTGTCAAAAAAAAACATGGGACGTTTCCCCAAATAATGAACCCCAGTTCATGGATACCCACAATATATAAAGGTCAGTAGAACCGCCAATAATCATCAACACCATCAGCCATCAGCCAATCATATTTTATCAATTTTATCAATTATATGTGTATATATATAATATCCATGTACTAGTGATGCTTAAACCACTATGAATGCAGATGAAATCATACTTGAATCCGATTCAAACGCTAAAAGCATCCCATGAAAATCCCCATTGAAACTCTTCATCCAAACTCACCACCAGAGGCGCCAAGTGCTTTTTGCGTTTTTCCTAAGGTTCCTAAGATCCGGCACAGCACCTTAGGTGCTAGGAAAATGGCCTCTAATTGAAGACAAACAGCAGATTTTTCTGGATCTGGTTGAGTTAAATGTCACCAAACTGAAGGCAACATTAGGTGAATCGATGTCAATGCCTAATATTCTAGTCTATTATTCTAGTCTATTAGTAGGTCTAAATCACCACTGAGGAGGGAACGAAATCGTGGAACGGATCCCTTGCAACTTGCAACGTTTTTGCAAAGTGTTCCTACCAAATATTGGTATAGGGTTACCAGTACCCGCTTTTCTTATTCATGACACTTGATGCAAATAGAGATACCGAAAACAATACCATGATCGACATCCTGGTACAGGCAATTAAATATCATGCATCTCCATGGCATATTCTGCTGTATACTTTGCTGAAACGACCCTCACAGAGTGGTGACTCCCATGGGGAAAAACATCAGCTGTTTGGCGGCGCAGCCACGGAATTTTGTGAAGATCTTTGCAGTCTTGGATCCAAATTCAAGCATTGAATACCATTGAATACCATGAGTTTTCAAACTTCTACCATTTTGAATTTATGAAAATAGATTGAGATTCAGTGAACATCTTGGGGTTGCTTTTTTTTTGGATCCCTCAATGATCCCATTTTCCTATGCTCGCAAGGCTATGACCAACGCCAGAACCTGGGTTTCAGGGGTAATTTTTGTTGACATTATCTGATATTATGTGGCTAATTATCCAAATCTGCATGATCCCGATCAAATTTCAAATTTGGTTCTTTCTTTCACTAGGCCCCCCCTCAAAACGTGTTGATGTTCAGAGCCTGCTTCGAGAGTATGTTTCGGGGTATGGTGCGAGGTATTTTTGGGAGATGGGTTTCAGAGAAATGTTTCGCGGCACATCTCTACTTCTGTAGGCAGTCCCACATTTCTGATCTCTTGAAGCCACTTGTGGGAAGTTCTTGTGACAACTGGGCCTCAAATCACCTGGTGATCTGGCAACAGAATGGAGGCAATTTTCTGGGATTTAGGCCCACCATTCTAAATCTGACGCAGCTGCAACATTGATAGCTGGTGGTAAACTGACGATTCTTAGTCATTTCCAAAAATTAAAACCAAACATTTGGCCGATTTTCAACTCAACATTTTAGCTGTGGCTGGAAATAGGGTATACCCCAAAGTATAGCCTTTTAATAGGGAACATTATGATTAACCATTGGGTTTAGAGGTACACTATTTTCGGACAAACCCATTTTCAGGAGGAATGGGATGCTTTCCTGATTCAACTGCCACAAGAGGAAGCGGAATGCACCGGCTTCGGGCGTTGTTGTGTCCGACTACTGAAAAAAACTTGCAGCCGACGACGGAATCAGGCTTGAAATATCTTGAAATTGATATCATCCCCAAATTGAAATGCAGTCATAAACCCGGGCTTTCTGGCATTGGGTTTCTTTTAGTGGTCAGTTGGCAGAAAGACATCAAAACTATGGTGATTCGTTATTTTCGTCAAAACCTTGGGACTGTAGGTTTCGTAAGATAGCTGGTTGATGGATGGTCATTTCCCCATATGGTAAGAGGTTTTGACCCATCCCTACATCAAGTTAATCTTTCCAAGCTCTGATTGGAGGAAGGCTGCACACGGAACTGCAGAGGCAAACGTTGTCACCTGCAACCTGGGAAATGGGTAGTGCTCCCGAGACGAGAGGGTCCTCTGGGTTTGAACACAAGGATTCCTAAATCCAGTGGTTAATCATCACTTTCCCCTAAGAATGGTCATTTTGGGTTATACTATACCTACACTCAAAGTGACAGAGTATTTGAGCTTGTCTGAAAATGGAGAAGATTCCAAAACAACCGATCTTTAATGGGAAGAGGTTGTGACCATCATTTCCCTTATCACAGAAAGCGATTTCGAGATTTTGACCCGAGTTTTTTCAGACTATGACTTCACTGCATCCAGGGTGAGTTTTTGGTCATCCGTCCCAATTTCCCATCATTTGGCGGAACCTTACAAACCACGAACTAAATAATGAAATAGGCTAGGTTGATCAGTTTCTGTAATCATTATATGCCCTGTTGGGTAGCGATACAGTACATGCGAAGCTCATATCAGTTCCCATTTTGTAAAAGCCTTTTCTCGCTGGTCAAATCTCATTTTTTGTGGGTTTAACCTCAATTTTTGCAGTGAAATGTCTTTGGAGACTCCTTTTTTCTAATGGATGGACATTTCATCTTATTTTTCATGCTTAAATCTCATCCAATTACATATAGCTCTGACACTATGAATGGCCAGTTTAAAAACAAGGTAGTGCCGCCCGCAATGACCCCGGTGATTTTCACTTTTTCTGCTGCCAAGTTATTGTTTCGACAACCCTTCCAGGGTTTTGTGTCCAGAGCATTTTGTGTAGACTCGCATTTCGAATGGTATTTGCATGCCTTCGTAATCGTTTCGATGATTTTAGATTGGTAAAAATGTGTTTTTTCGCTTTCCATATGTTCAAAAAATTGAATGCTTGTTGTTTTTCATTTGCAAGTCCTTGCCAAGGTGCAGTGGTTGTTTCGACTGACCATCCGGCTCGGCACATTGCATCTCCAGACAAATCTGTATACTGTATATAGAAGTATATAGTCTCTGATTTTCTGATTCAAGTTTCGATTACCTGAATGTTTGGACGCCAAAACTCCTTGGGGATATATTTCTTCAAAGTAGACCAGCGGTGGTCGAGGCACTGAGTTCCATGTGACCTGACCATAGGTTTTTTTTTTTTAATTAATAAACTGCATCTTGCAATGCTTCACCTGGTAACATTTTCTTCTCAAAGTTTTACATTGCGCAGCCCAGGCTTTGTTGCCATCTGCAAATTTGGTGGAAGGTGTTGTGCGCTCCAACAAACGACTTTAAATGACATCGTGATTACTTCCTGTCGGTGGCCTTCCACCAGCAGCAACAAGGGCGTGTTAGATGTTATATGAAAGTGTTAAGAGCGTAGCACCAAAAGCGTGTTAGATGTTACATGAAACTGTGCAAAGTGTGTTAGATCTTACATAAAAGTGTTAAGAGCGTACCAAGAGCCTGTTAGATGTTGCATGAAAGTGTTGAGAGCGTAGCAGCAAGAGCGTGTTAGATGTTACATGAAAGTGTTAAGAGCGTAGCACCAAGAGCGTGCTAGATCTTACATGAAAATGCTAAGAGCGTAGCACCAAGAGCATCTTAGATGTGACATGAAAGTGTGCATAGAACCTTATTTGCCCCCCCCCCACCACCCCCATGTGACCAGAAGCGTCAGAAAGTTTAAAGCAACTGTCCAGAGAAGAGGCGACAGAACGTTATTGGCCCCCGCCCCACCCACCTGACACATATGAAGGTGAATGAGAAAAGAACATGGCAAATATGACATGTGACAAAACAACTGTGCAAAAATTAGCAAACGGACTGGGGTTGTTGGAGGCGGCATCAGCAAAAAGAGTTTAGTTGTTGGCTAAGATCAGATAGAACAAATCCCACTTGTTGCGAGCAAACCTGCTCTTTTTTTGGGGGGGGAATTTGAACCCTAAATCTTCAAAGTGGGTGTGTCCGAAAATAAGGGTCCCCCATAATTCTCATCCATTTATCAAAAAAAAATCTTTCATGGATTTTCCTAATAATCAATGGATTGGTTTAAGGGAAAATCTACAGGAAACCATGGTTTTTACCATCAAATATAGGGGTTTCCTGTAAATTTTCCCATCATCCAGTTCTATGAAATAAACCATCCCAAGCTCGCGGTGGGATCCTCCATGACATCCCAGCAGCCAGGTGCATATCTCGTTTTTCGTCATCTCACGTGGTCGATGAGGAAATCGGCAGTGGAGAGCACCTCCGCCTGCAACAGTCGCTGTGTCCAAGCGAGTCCGGGCGACTGTGGGGATGGCTTACCTCCTGGCGTATTACCATATGGTGATATTGATTATAGCTAAATAGTAAGCCATAATATATGTATATTATGATTTTGAAGCTATTATAGCTAACAGATATAGCTATATATATATATATATATTGATTATAGCCAACTATAGCTAATCTCCGTTAGTTGGAATTGTACCCCATCATTAGTTGGATGATGATCAAGTCAACAGCCATGGATTATCTTCCTTCATCAATGATTTACTTGGTAAAAAATGGTGCTTTTCAATAGGTTACTGGTTACCGGAGAGTATCCCCCAAAGGTGACCTATCTGACTCTTCCCAACAGTTTTGTGGTGGTTGTGACCCAAAAAACTAAGCCAATTTTGTGGGGAGAAACCAAAACTCTTCGTTGGAGATCAGAAAATCCCGAAGACGATTGAACATATATCTGGGGCATGTTATCATAATTCACTGACCTGAACAAATCGGCCATTTTGGGATGATTCCTCTTTTTTTTCCGTGATTCCAGGGCTCGGGAGAACAGTGAGATCGTTATCATTTGCCCAGATATATGTTGGTTAAGTAACTTTACCCAATCTACGTATAGTCCGATATCCACCATAAAACCAAGAGTTGGCCGAATGTGATAAAGCTTCACGTAGCCATTGTTTGGGGGCCTTCACGCACGCTATAAAAATCCTTTGCAGATGCATCCCTATTTCTACGCTCTGGTAATTGTTACGTAGCTATTGAACATGGCCCATAGAAATAGCTGATTTACCTATGAAACATGGTTATTTTCCATAGCTATGTGAACGTTTACCCTATTTCTATCCGCTGCAAGCGCCCATCATTTCCCATTCGCCTGCGGCTCATCTGCCAGGTGTTGTGTTGTCGAGGGGATGCTGTCGGTGGTGTAGAAGCGACAGCTGCCTTCAGATCTAAACAACGAACTCCTATGGTGGTGTAGTGATTACATGCCATGGAATAATATAAGTATTGCGTGTAGTAATACATCCATTTACATATCAAGATATCATTTTTTTCGCTTATCATATGGTGTGTACTTCCATGCCATGCTGGGACATGGGATAATGACTGGTGGATAAGTTATGTCTCTATATTTTATGGGACAATGATTGATAATCCACCAATCCACCATAACTATCATGGGATAAGTTGGGATGGGATAATGACTGGTGGCAGCCAGCGGAACATGTTGGATTTCACCTGGATTTTTTGAGATCCCTGTGGATGGATCAATGCCGTAATGACTGGGCTATCCAGTTATCCAATCTATCTATATTTGCTATTGAAAGTTGCCATTTATGGTTGATTTACCTAGTAAAAATGGTGATTTTCCTAGTGAAAATGATGATTTACCTAATTCAAGATAGCTAATCAGCGGGAGATCTTCAGGATCCAATACATGGAGGTACTGACTGTACCATATTGTTGGCCATATGAATTGTGGGGATATTCCCTGAAATTTAGGCCTGCAAAATAGGCCTTATATATGGTAGGTACCTCCAGTTTAGGTTCCTGAAATGGCCATTGAATATGAGATATAACAGGATATGTTTTAGCTATGGTATAGTGGGATCACGTAAAGGGGCGGACCTGAATTACATTTGAATACTCATATCGAATATTTCACAGATAGATAGATATATATATATATATAATATCGGGGATAGAATTTTCCTATTAGTATCTAATACAATAGTATGAATTCCCAACAACTATAAAGAATCAAAGAAACACAAAATGCTGATCCAAGCAACACACATCTTCCGTTAGTAACCACGATTTAACAGGGACGGAGCAGACACCACCTACGGATGCAAGAAGCACGCGAATTCAATTCAGACAAGTATGTCTGCGGGAAAATTCAGGCGGAACAAATAAGCATTCATCAGCTGGTTGGTGGTTTTAACCATCTGGAAGGATTAATGTCAACCCTGGATTAATAAACCCCAAACGGCTGTTTATTGGGAGGGTACCATTTAAGTATTAGATGAAATGACTATTGGAGGAATACCCCCCTAATTAGTAAACCATGGTTTAGTCTCATCCGGGGTTGACATTAATAAGGTTAATTCCCCATTAATGGTTAATGATGGTTAATAAATGGTTAACAAATGGTTAATTCCCCAGTAATGATGGTTAATAGTGGTTAATGATGGTTAATGACATTATCCCATCTATTGGTCAGCAATCACCGCCCGAGTTGAGAAAGACGCTGCCTAGATCATGGAGCTTTTGTCGAATCTTCGCCACAGTGGACTCCTACCGATGACAGTCGAAGTGTTTGTCGACTGAGAGTGGAAGTGGTTGGTGGTTGACCTACCCCTCTGAAAAATATGAAAGTCACATGGGATTATTGTTCCCAATATGGGGATGGGTCAAAACCCTGGTACCTAGTGAACCCCAAAATAGCTGGTAAATGGATGTTCATCCCACTAAAAATGTATCTATAGGTATTGACCCATACCCATATATGGAAAAAGAAAAAATGTTCCAAACCACCAACCAATGAACTAGGAAAATAGAAGATTTGACCAGGAAAATGGATAGTCTAACAAACAAAATTGATTATTTGAGCACCAAAGAAGACAGTGTTAGGAAAAACATGCTGAATTTCCTTCCACACATCCTCAACATAGACCACCTAACCTCATTTGTATACATTAAAGATCATTAAGGTCTTAAGTGCCGAAATCCACAAACATGGTCCGTTTGAAGGGTTTCGGAAGGGTCGGAAGGATACCAATCTGTGTGGCGCTCCTTGATTCTCAGCTAGTCTTGGTTGCCTTGCTAAGACTACGATTTTTGTCCGGTTAATCATCATGTTCCCTTCAAACTTGCCATTTACAGGGGTAAATAGTCCATTTTCAGACCCATATCCATTCTTCATGGATTAGCCTCTGGTTATTTAACATCGCCATGGTATAGATGGCCCATTTATAGATGATTTTCCCAGCTATAAACCTCCATTTATAAGGGATTTTCTATGGCTATGTTAGTCATAAGCAGATGATAACATCCCTGTTGATGGTTTTAACCTGCTTAAATCCACATTTTTGATGGTGAAATCCCCACTTTGCATGTCGCGAGCTGGAACTTGGCTCCTGATAGCCCGCCACCAGGTGACTCACAAAGATGGACACCGGTAAAGCTGCGACGACGAGGCTTGGATGAGGAAAAACGGTGCATTTTTCCAATGCGGGGAATCAAAAAGGCTTTGTCTGAAAATAGGGTGCCCCTAAATCCACTGGGTAATCATCATTTTCCCTATCAAAATGCAATTTCGTAACCTCCATATAATCCATATAAATCCTAATGACTATGGGAATGTAGAGGTTTCCATAGTCATGGGGGATCCGAAAGGGAGCTTAGGATGGTGTATTTCATGGAAGATCCGAAAATCAGATGGATGATTTGTTGGGTATCCCCATTTTCGGACACCTCCGAGTGCATCAACATGGTCTTAGCATGTCTGAAAAGAATCGTGAAATGGGGAATTAATTATGGGGAGATATAACTTGTAACTTGATATACCCTCTGGTTATGTCAAAATAGCTATTGAAAATGACCATAGAAATAGTGGATTTTCCCATTGAAAATGGTGATTTTCTATAGTTTTTTGTAAGTTTACCAGAGGGTAACCATCAGAAAAAGGAAGGTTGAACATGGTTTAACAATCCTGAAATGGGGATCTCATGGGGATATAACTTGTCGCTGGGAACTCCCGGAAGCCATGGAGGTAAGGAGGAAAGCATCCAACGAGCCATGGCGGATTTTCTGCCAGCTTTGACTACCAGAGGCTACGGGATATATGGGTTACCCTCCAGTAAATTAACATAAACCCTGCCAGATAGGGGTTGGAAGACTAGTGAAACCACTATAAATTGGTCATTTTCATGTTAATTTACCAGGGGTTATACATGGGATATTAAATAATCACTGGCCATCTCAGGAACCGATTGATTGGAGGTACCGATTCCATATATGTTTGGCCTATTTTTCAGGCCTAAATTTCAGGGAATATCCCCACAATTCATATGGCCAACAATATGGTACAGTACCTCCATGTATTGGATCCTGGATTTCCCATTGACTACGGGATGATATATGGGTTATACATGGGATATGCCCGAGGTTATTGACATATTAACGACTTACGATTCCTGCGATGTGCCAAAATAAATGAACATCAGCCATTTCTATGTGCGGGATCAAGCAAAAAACTTTCGGGATATCTGGTTGGTGGTATACCTACCCCTCTGAAAAATATGAAAGTCAATGGGAAGGATTATCCCCAATACATTATGGAAAGTCATAATCCATTCATGTTCCAAACCACCAAGCAGATAATGATTGACCATGAAATTTTGGGGCCCATTCTCACACAAACCCAAAGACCCAATGGAAGATGCTGGGGATACTGGCCCAAGAGTATTGGGATGGCCTGTATGGGTCTGGTCATTGGGTACCTCCAGATTTGCCAGGTGATACCTACCCATAACGATCCAACTATCTACCAATTAATCCATGGCATGAATTCTCAGTGATACCCGGCCTGGTAAACGTTAACAAAAAACTATGGAACGATCCACCATTTTCAAGGGGTACATCCACTCTTTGGCCATTTTCAATAGCTATGTAAACGTTTACCAGAGGGTATCCCACTTTTTTCGGCTTCAAGAATCAGTCTCCTTGTTAATGGATATGGCTATGACTCAAACCCCTGGTACTTCGTGAGCCCCCAAAATAGCTGGGATTAGCTGGGATGTTCATCCCCATTTTTCATCGGGTCAACAGACCCCATATCCTTCAAAAGCTATACCGTCTATACCATACTTTGGGATGAAGCTCCCCAACAGTCTGAAAATAGGAATGAAAATCCCAACATGCTGATGGTTGATCAGTTTCCGTATGGAAATGGCCCCCTTTTCAAAGAAACCCGTTTTCAAACTCAATGGGAATTCCAGGGTCCTAAAATGAAGGTACTGTACCATATAAGGCCATATTTTGTGGGGATATTCCCTTACATAGGCCTTACATACAGTAGGGCTTATATATGGTAGGTACCTCCAATCAATGGGTTCCTGAGATGGCCATTGATTTTCCGATGTTTTCCGGGCCTTCTTTTTGTTCTTCTGCCTGGTCCGCAGCATCGGGAGCACAGGAAAAATGGGAAGATGTTGCTTGGGAAGGCCATAAAAAACATCTCACTATAAATGGGTAAAACCAGGAATTTTATAGGGGTACGGGATATCATAGGATATCATGGGACAAAATCAGATAGTATCTGGGGGTATAATGGTATATGAATGGATATGATGTGGGGTATATTTGAATGTAGTGCGATGTAATGGGATATCAACGGATATGATATAGGCCCTATAGGCATTTTGGATGGGATGCGATAGGATGCTATTGGATTGGGAGAATTACTACTGAGAATATTAAATAATCACTGGCCATCTCAGGAACCGATTGATTGGAGGTACCGATTCCATATATGTTTGGCCTATTTTGCCTAAATTTCAGGGAATATCCCCACAATTCATATGGCCAACAATGTGGTACAGTAGCTCCATGTATTGGATCCCGAAGATCTCCCATTGATAACCATCATTAACCATTATTAACCAATTTAGGATCCTGAAGATCTCCCTACTGACATACCTCCCGTTAAGCAATTCCTGGTTTGGTATTGGATCTACTCTATGCTTTCGGGGATGGGATTTGAGGCAACATACCCGGCCTGGTAAACGTCAACAGTTTGCGAACTTGAAAATGGTCATTGAAATAGTGAGTTTTCCCATAAACAACATGGTGGATCTTTCCATAGTTTTTTGTTAACGTTTACCAGAGGGTAACCAAAATGATGAAATCGTTGTAACCTTTGATGAAATCTCCACAGGTGAGGGAGCTCATGAAATTCCGATCGTGACCTCACGCTGGTTTGATCACAAACCTATGGGTACGGAATTAGGGTGCACAGTTTCCAGCAAAAACAGCATAGTTTGTGGTTGAAACTTGAGTTTTCACCCTATCCAAGCCCTACCTGTGGCTAATCTTTGTTAGGGATAGTGTATACCCTCTGGTAATCAGACATGTCACTGGAAAATCAAGCATTTAGTTCGATGATCTTCCCAGCGAACAAAACCTCCATTTAGGGTTTAGGGATTTTCAATTCCCACGTTTGATTAGAGGAGAGTATCCCCATGTATGGAAAACACACACTAAGTATTCAACTATACTCCTTCTCTAGTCGGTTTCCTCCATTTCTGATGGCTATCTACCCACATAGTGATGGTCAACCCCCTATATTTGATGGTCAAAGCCCTATTCATTCAATCAGACCCAGATCAGATTCCATGAATGCCCACCATATTTCTTGCTGAAGTCCCCAGGAAATTGTACGATTTGATGCCCATCCAATCAGCGGAGGCTCCCTGGTTCGCCATCCCAGTCACCGTCAACGCTTGGCCGGACTCGCTCGTTAACAAACTTCCTCAATGATGGCTGCCACATGCCACGGAAGGAGGTATACTTGGATGTGTATCCCAGTTTCCAAGTGGGTTATCTTCAGTAATATGTTATGATAACCCAATACATCCATTCATTGGATACCCCAGCTATGGGCTTTTAACCACTTAATATTCCATGGATGCACCATCAAACCCAGCATTGGCATCACGCACATTGACCCAAGCATCAAGAAAAACATGTAGCCCCGTGCTATCCTTTCATCTTCCATGGGACATGTTATAAAGCTACCATTCACCACTCCATTTAGGGTTGTCTCAAAATTTGGACAAATTGACACGGCAAGCTGCGAGTAGGACATGTAAATCATTTAATTCCTGGGGTTGCATCGAAACCTACACGAAGATTATTTTTTTTGGGATAAACCATCAGACATCATAGCTGTTTTATGCTGTTGTTCTTTTCAGGGGATTCCATGGCTCTTGAACCTAGCACATTTTTGGACCCGAAACTTGCCCTCACCGCCCAGCGACGTACCAAACTCACGGCGCCGAACAAAGTGCTGCCGGAGTTGGTGAAGTCGTCGATGATCAACACCTGGCACACGTGATCAAACATAGCAATGGGAAATCCCCGGCTTTTACATGGCTTTCTGGTTGGTGGTTGAACTACCCCTCTGAAAATTGATGGAGTTCGTCAGTTGGGATGATGACATCCACAATATATGGGAAAATAAGAAATGTCCCAAACCACCAACCAGCTTTTAATGGGTAAATGAACAAACTAAATGGTAGATTTTTCAGTGGCATGTTTGATTGACAGAGGTTCAGTAATTTCACTTGTAGTAAACTTCTGAACCCTGAAAAGATTCAGGCAAGCTTCAAATTTGCTGGGGGTGCTGTATGAGAATCAAATCTTTTTTGACATTCTGATTATGTATTCATGGCTTTGCTTAATCTCACGAATGCAATGCGGTGGCTGAATAGGTCCTGCTGCCGCAGTTGCGACAATGTCTAACCTCATCTGTTACTGTTCCATAGCTACTGTTGCTTGTATCTGGTACATTGACTTCCTACCCCTCACAGTGTTTGGGGTCTCTTGCCAGTGTAATTGTTCTAATTTCTTGATTCAATGTTGGAGGTGTGTCATGTCCTACCTATATTTTTTCCGTATTAACGACCCCTCCTTGATATTTAGATCCCTCCAAAAGCCAAGGTTTTCCCGGAGGTCTGATGTTAGCAGCGTTCAAAACCCTCTGTCATCGGACTGGTTGGTTACATGTTCATGCAAGGTGGTGCGTTCATGCAAGGTGGTGCCCCAGTTCGTGAACGCTAAGTTGGTGCAAATAAGTGCAATTTCACTATGGTTTTTGTTGGTGATATATCTATAGTATTCATGGGGATTATAACCTATTTATAACTGGGGGGCACCACCTTGTATGATAATACCAAATGTATTCTCAGGGCAGTATCCCCCCGAGCCAATCATCAACCAAGCATCATTTAGCAACGATCTGCCAACCATCATTTGATACGATAAATTCTCTACAATGTGGGGCCCCCCAGTTTTGTTAGTTGGTTTAGATTCGCCCCATGAATACTATAGTTATACTTACCATAAACCATAGTGAAATTGGAGTTATGTTCACCAACTTAGCTATCGAACGGGGGCCCCACATTGTAGAAATTAACCCACAAAATCCCGAACTAATCACCAACCACCAGGGGTAGATCGCAGCCACTCAGCCGATATTTCCACCGAGCCACGTGCTGCCCACGTTTAAAGTGGCTTCGTTGATCGGCTTCGCCTGGAGAGGGCGATTGTTGGTGGAAACCCCATGGTTTCCCGTTCGGAACATGATCTACAAATGGTGTTTCTTTTTTTTTAAAGGTCTATGTTTTCCAACTAACAGGAGGGTAAAATAGGGTAACCATCAACAATGGGTGTGCTGGTAAACCAACCAACCAGTTTATGGCAAGTTTTCAGGTTTTTTTTTCTAACGTTTTTCACCATCTTTCTAACCAACCTTGATAAGAGTCAGAACGCGAAGCTTGCGCCCGATGCCATGTCATCAACTGACCGAGATCCAACTGGGAAAATGAACATCAGACCATCTCAGACCAAATGGAGATTCACATAGGGTAATTTGCACTTACCCTCTGGTAAACGTTAACAAAAAAATATGAAACATCACCATTTTTAATAGGTAAATCAACTATTTCTATAGGCCATTTTCAATAGCTATGTAACAAATTACCAGAGGGTACCCGGTAAATATAGTAATTCACTAACCTGAAATAAGGCTATATTGGGATAATTCCATATAATTCCCCTTACTGATCATTATTCCAGTGACGTCAGAGCGAGGTCACTGCAATTCAACCAGACCTATGGTTCTACAATTTTACGTTTACCCAACTTTCACCCACCTGAAGGCTTCTGGTAGTACAACTTCTGCTCCTGCTTGATCTTATCTCCCACCTGCCAGGTCGCTCATCTAGGGGCAATGGAATCTGTTCAGAAAAGCTGGTGGTGGAGCAACAAACATGAGGCTTCGAATGAGCGAAAACTTGCTGGGTCCAAGCCATTGGGTCCCTCAAAATTGCATGGTCGAGTACAAACAATGTCAAAAACAATGTCAAAATCCTGCACCACCAAAAGGATGCTTGAAACCCGATAAATAATGGGATAAACCACCTATCAACTGGTGCAGGATTTCTTCGATCCACAGTAGCATGACAAATTGAAGTAGTAAAGCCAACCAATTTGAGTACTAGGAATCGACCAAGGAAAGTCAAATTGATTTACATGAATACCCCAAAAGTGGCAAACATTTACCCTCTGGTAAACTAACGTAAGTATGGAACATCACCATTTTAAATGCGTAAATCAACCATACATGGCCATTTTCAATAGCAAGCTGTAACAAATTACCAGATATTCGCTATCATAAATCAGCTATAAATCCCAAACCCACATTTTCCTATGGTTTCCTATGGTTTCCAACATAGCTACAGTCATTACCAGAGGCTAAAACCTCCCATGAAACCCACATTTCCTGGTGATTTTGTCCCACCCTGGTCTTGTTGATGTAGAGGATATGATCATCCTCCAATCGCAAGACCTCCTGGAGGATGACTCAGAAGTTTTCGGTTACGCCGGAAACATGGTGGATTTAAGGGTATGACCCATAGAAATTCCTGCATATATATATATATATATCATATATGATATATATATATATCATATATGATATATATATATATATATGATGTATATATATATATATTATAATAATAAATATGTATATATATATATAATATGTCAATCATTAGACATTATAATTATAAGGATCAAAGACTGGTGATCCCACCAAATCCATGATAACAAACGTGTCGAGTTGGGGTAGGAGGTGTGGTGACTACGTTGCTGTGAACCCGCCTGGGATTTCTGAGGCACGTATCATCTGCAACATCGAAAAGGACGACTTTTCTATACATGTGAAGTTCCTAAAGCTGCAAGAATTACGAGCAATCTCTGCAAAATCGCTTTTAGGATTGGGGTCTTCACCCATCTTCTGTACAGCTTTCCCAGCTTACAGGAGGAACTCAAACTTATATGCTTCACTGATCACTGGAACGGAACCGTGAACCTCAAGCGATCTCGATATGGCGAGCGCGATGTAAAACGCTGGTCTCATCTTGATCACTTCATGGGGCATCAATGAGAAAATGAGACCATGACCCCATGGCCCAAGCTTCACTATGTCTATTGGTCGGCAGAGGTGAGCCTCCAATGATCCAACCCATCTCTTTGGATACCCTGCGCAAGCCCCAGAAATGGAATGATTGATAGGGGTCCCAAAATAGACACGTGATGCCCAACTACTTTGATGGTGATTTTCTTTCCATCTTTTTCAAGGGACCACTCTACTGCCAAAAACATCTCCGGTCTTTTTACCCTCAACCTGAGGTGATACAGCTACACTGGACACCCCCGCCTTGACGCTCGCGAAGTAGCGAAGGTAGGCACCATGGTCGGGAAACAGGACAAACAGCTGCGCTCTGCCCGGGTAACTCCTCAGCAATGGAGGAACTGCGGACAGTAGCAGCATTGGGGGTGGAACAAACATATGCATTGGTACTAGCTGTCCGATTTAGACATCACCCATTTATAAAAAGAGGGGAACATCTTCAAAATCCATTCGAAGGATAGGTTTGAAACACACCGAAAGAGGATTGGTTGGTGGTTTCAACCCCTCTGAAAAATATTAGTCACTGGGAAGGATTATCCCATGTATTATGGAAAATAAAAGATGTTTGAAACCACCCTGGCAATACACAATCGCAGCATTGGCGGTTTCCGCCAAAAAAGAAAGCGTTATGGGTAAACTGAATCCTTTGGAGACCAAAAAAAGCTATGAATCGTTCAGATCCTTTGTGGAGATACCCTCTGGTTATGACTAACATAGCCATGGTACAGATGGCCCATTTATAGATGGTTTACGATTCTTAAAAATGAGGATTTTCCATGGCTATGTTAAATAACCAGAGGGTATATGCATTTGCTATGAAGATCGCCAACAAACCTAAGAAACTAAGCAGTAACAAATGTGTCTGTGAAAGAAGGGTCGATTTCCGACCGCCTTTATTTTTAGCCAGGGTCAAAGTGATGGATGCTTAAAAAACCACTGGGGTACTCCTGGAATCCAAGGGATTTTTCCATCATTTTCCCCATCAACGGGAAACACAGTTGGGGTATACCCAGTATCCTGTCATGGCAGGAGCGGAGAGAAGGCCTGTTCGATATTTGGGCACAAGAAAAGGCCTGCCTGGCCACAAAAAAATGAGATCTTCAGCCACCAGCCTGGAAGGTGGAGACTACTGTAGCTGGGAGGTTTATCAGTGGACTGATCATAACCAGTGAAGGTCGACAAGGGTTTTCTAGACCCCCAAAATCCCAAACACATGTCTGATGGTTTACCTTGAAATCATAGGACTTTCTTCGAACATAGGGGTTGATTCTGTACCCTAAAAATCCTATTGGTTGATCATCTTCTCCATATAGACTTGCCATATCTTGGATCCCCTGAGCTTTCCGACTTTTGATCTCCAAACTTCGACAAGAAGAACCTGCCGTTGCCGGGCGGCCCTGAGAACCGGTTCTTTGCTGTTTGAAATGCTGGGATTTACCCCTTGGGGCATGAGAAAAATCTGCATCAAATCGAGGAATAGCTAGGGATTATGAACCCAAATTATGGTTAAATCCCGATAAATCGTTAAGAAAAACTATTGTAAGGTGGCCACCAGTTATGTTCGTTGATTTATACAATGTTCTATACAGCCCAGTGACTAGTTCGTTATAGTTCCTAAAAACCCAACAGTTCACCAAGTTATGTTCACCAACTTAGCTAACCAAATGTCATTAAATCCGTCAAACATATCTCATTAAATATCAATAAAACTCATTACCTTAGGGTACACTAACATAGATGTTGGAAAACCAATGGATTCCCATTCGGAGAATGCTCTACAAATGCTGGGTTTTCCACATCGATGCTAGTTTGCGAGAACATCCCACTAAATCTCATTAAATCGCATTCAAAATCTCATGGAACATCCCATGAAACCTCATATAGAACCCATGAACAAATAGATCAAATCCCCACAATCCATCATAATTCCCATTAACTATAGATATAACATGATATAACCATTACCCTCCAGTAAATTAACATAGACCCTGGCAAATAGGGGTTGGAAGATGAGTTTCAACCAAAAATTGGTGACTTTCAGGGTCTATGCAAATTTACCAGAGGGTAACTATTTAATTTACTATAACTGGTTGGTGGTTTCAACCCCTTCTGAAAAATATTAGCCAGTTGGATGATGACATTCCCAATATATGGAAAAATAAAATTCATGTTCCAAACCACCAACCAAATTATATGCTATTATCCCATATATACCCTCTGGTAAACTAACATAACCATGGAAAATCGCCATTTATAATAGGTAAATCAACTATTATTAGCTACTATAACCAGAATAAATTACCATTCTTCATCATCTTCCAATTTTTAACCCTGAAGCAATCACCATAAATGGGGGTTACTCCACTCATCTACAGTATTGGCTATGATTAGTTGGTAAACTAACATAATTATGGAACATCACCATTTATAATAGGTAAATCAACTATTATTAGCTACTATAAATAGCAACCAGAGGGTAAACTCATCTTCCAATTTTTAACCCTGAACAAATGACCATAAACGAACATGTTAACTCCACTCATCTATTAGCTACTATAAATATAAAATGTTCCAAACCACCAACCAGATATGGTCTATAGGTTATATATCTATAGTTAATGGGCTACTCACCATAAATGGGGGTTACTCCACTCATCTATTAGCTATTATTAGTTGGTAAACTAACAAAACTATGGAACATCACCATTTATAATAGGTAAATCAACTGTTATTAGCTACTATAAATAGCAACCAGAGGGTAAACTCATCTTCCAATTTTCAACCCTGAACAAATGACCATAAACGAACATGTTAACTCCACTCATCTATTAGCTACTATAAATATAAAATGTTCCAAACCACCAACCAGATATGGTCTATAGGTTATATATCTATAGTTAATGGGCTACTCACCATAAATGGGGGTTACTCCACTCATCTATTAGCTATTATTAGTTGGTAAACTAACAAAACTATGGAAAATCACCAATTATAATAGGTAAATCAACTGTTATTAGCTACTATAAATAGCAACCAGAGGGTAAACTCATCTTCCAATTTTTAACCCTGAACAAATGACCATAAACGAACATGTTAACTCCACTCATCTATTAGCTACTATAAATATAAAATGTTCCAAACCGCCAACCAGATATGGTCTATAGGTTATATATCTATAGTTAATGGGCTACTCACCATAAATGGGGGTTACTCCACTCATCTATTAGCTATTATTAGTTGGTAAACTAACAAAACTATGGAAAATCACCATTTATAATAGGTAAATCAACTGTTATTAGCTACTATAAACATAACCCCCCCACAACCCCCAATAGTGGAGCCCAAGGCACGGCACGAAGCGTTCCATGCGGATTGCCACCGTGCTGCCCGCGACGGCTGAGCGCACCGGCGCCTCCTGGCGAAGCGGTTGCAGGTGACAAGTTGAAGGCCATAGAATCCCTATGACATTGGAATTTTTATAGGGATTTTATAGGGATTTAATGGGATTCTATAGTGATTTTATGGGATTTTATTGGAATTTTATAGGATTTTATTGTGATTTATTGAGATTTTATAGGGATTAGAATATGAAAATCTCATATAAACCATATTAGAATTATAACATCCCATTAAAATCACTATAATGGCACTATAAAGCCCATTGGATTGGGATTTTTTCGGGATAAATGGGATTAAATGTGATATCCAATTGGGATAAAGCCCAATAATCACATTGGTCATATCCAATTATCAATGGGGCCCCCAAGATAGTTCAGTTGCCTGTTAAGTGGCTGAATTCTATGGTTCATGGTAGATATAACGAACTAGTAAATGGGGTTTATAAACATAACTGGGGGGCACCATCCTGTATCAAATCCCGATAAAGCCCCTATCAAATCCCAATCCAATGGGCATGTGGGATAAATGGTCAAAACAATATAAAACCTCTATAGAATTCCCTATAACATCCCAATGAAATCCCATAAAATCACTATAGAATCCCATTAAATCCCTATAACATCCCAATAAAATCTCATAAAATCCCATAACATCCGGATTTTTGTGTTGTTTCACCATCCCATCTCCGGCCCGTGGAGTTCCACCACACGGAAACTCCGTGGAACGGGACCTCGTGGAGTTCCACGAAGAACAAGGTCACGGGGGGACGCCAGAGTGGCTCCAATGGCCGCGAGTCGAACCTGGGTGTCTGTTAGATTTTGGGTCTCCGAACTATATATATATATAATAATAAAAATAATAATAGTAATTAAATTAGTTAATAATAATAACAATAATAATAAAATAATCATAATAATAACAATAATAATCATAATCAAAAAATAAAATATAATATATATACACATGATATAGATGTATAGATTAGCCTATATTCCATCTATTTATATACACACAAGCATGCTTGAAGACACAGATCAAAAAGAACATATAGATCATATCAGCATAAAACATCTTAAATATATCAATAGACACATCTGCTGCCCAGCGACGCCAGGGCAGGCCCCTTGCCGGGCGGATTGGGCGCCGGCGCTGCCAGCAGTGCCGCCAGACTTTGGGCGAAAGGGATGTCCAACCAACGGCCTTCAGGAGCCTTGGGAGGTTGGGATGTCGGGGTTGGAGATTTCTGAGTTTTATGGCTGGTGATGAATAGATTCATTGGATTGGTGCGATAATGTTCACCGGACACCTCCATATTTGATGGTAAAAACAAAGGTTTCCGGGGAAGATTTTCCCTTAAACCAATCCAATGAGAGGTGGATGAGATTCTACAAGGATTTATCATGGACATATGAAAAAATAGAATTTTCATAGCACAACGAATGGTTTAAGTGTAGATATGGGACCAGTTATACGAGTTGAAACCATTCGTTATGGGGAAATATACGACTTATACTAATAACCATAAAATTGGGAAATATGAGTTTCATGATGCAATTATCTAAGGATATGAATGGGAATATAATATAATGATATAATGGAATTCATGGGCTGATAACAGTTTAACAGTATAGCGACCCCCAAAAAAAATGCCAAAGAGTGGGAAACCTCGAAATATGAAGCACCCTCTGGTAAACTAACGTAACTATGGAAAAACACCATTTTCAACGGGTAAATCAACTATAAATGGCCATTTTCAATAGCTATGTAAACGTTTACCAGAGGGTAAATATCATGGAAAAAAACATCCTGGTGGCACACTGAAGATACATCTACCAGTCCAAACATGGGGCTTAGTTTGTATCACATGATATTCCACATCACCTAAAGAACATTCCATTGTTATTACTCAATCTGCTCAGGGTAATGCTACTCACTATGTTGTTGATTAAATGTTGAGTATATATATATATATATCCAATTGCATTCCATTCATACTCTGAATAGTATTGGACATATTGGGACTAATCTATTCAACCAATTCATCTTGATAGTTATATAACCATTCCACTATATTTGGTTATAATATTTCCAATTTATCGATTTCTCAAGCCATTGGGGGCTTTGGTTTCGCCGAACCTGCGATCTAAGAAACACCATTGGTCCAGGCTCCATCCTCCAGCGCCTGGCCAAAACACACATCGATGAGTTCCAGTAGTTACAACCATTCTTCACCAACTACGTGTATTTCTTCTATATATATATATATTTACATATTGCGCATGTATATATATATGTATGTATAATAAATATATAAATATAAATATAAATCTAAATAAATAATTATATATATATAAATATATATATATGTATAATAAATATATAAATATAAATATAAATGTAAATATAAATAAATATATATATATATATAAATATATATAAATACAAATATATATATATATAAATATATATATATATATAAATATATAAATATAAATATAAATCTAAATATAAATCTAAATATACATATAAATAAATATATATATATATATCTGACAATTCCATACAATTCCTTGAATCCTAAGCATTATTCCAATGAGGTTGCAGTGAAGTCGTTGTATTTACTCAGTCAAATTGTCTTGGTATTTAACACCATGCACATAGTTGTGCGAGGATCATACCTCTCAATGGCTTCTGGTTGGTTCCCAGCTCCCCTGCTAAGTTAGTTTCACTTCTAGTGGTTATCGAACAAGCTCAATGTCCAAGAGAACGGCTGGGAACTGCTTTATCAATCAACAAGGACTCGGACAAGACTTGGGTTCAAGATGCTTTAACCAACCAATCATCAACTCAGATACCATGCTCAGGACATCTCCACCATGCTCAGGAACTTGACGCAATCGTGGGCCCCCAAAAAAAAGAAAGGGGAGGGCTCCCATTCACGACCGCAGGGGCCAACCCTTGACTAGCACTGGCTAATAAAGCCCCCCTCATGTCGACCAAGTTCAGTTTTGGATCAACCTTGATGATTTTCTATCGGTTTTCTACTTCCATTTTCTATGTGCCCTCTGGTAAACGTTAACAAAAAACTATGGAAAATCACCATTTTTAATGGGAAAACTCACTATTTCAATGGCCATTTTCAATAGCTATATATGTAAACGTTTACCAGAGGGTAGTTCAGAACAAGGTTGACATTTTTTTGTTGGAACTGTGGGTTCGCACCCTTTTACCAGGCTGTGCCAGCCACCCACTGTGCTGGCTACTTGGATGCTGCTGATGAATTTGCCACAACCAGCACATTCTGTCTAGTTGCAGCTCCTCAATCCCTGCTTGGATGTGCATCCCTGACATAGGCAAAATTTCACTAACTTAAAAAGTTCGGCTATTTTGGGATAGTTGCCCAGATACCCCATTACCCCATACATTCACCATCATTCCAGTGAGGGAAGAGTGTGAGGTCGCAACATAATTCACCCAGACTTAATATATTATTCATAGATATTCATGGATATCTTAATGGATGCCAACATATATGTATGTAAATAATATACTATACTATACTATACTATACCTATTATGATAAAATAGATATTAATGCATATATGAATGGATGCTAACGTATGTATATATATATATACACGTATATATATATATATAACACTATTAAGGATGGCTTATATTGACCACATACCCTTCCTGGAACGTACCAAGGATGCCCAAACTTTCAGCGCCTCCCAACGACTCGTGCGTTCCATTTGACAGGGTCGATACCATGGCAACACCTCAACGCAAGGGTTTAATGTTCGAACATCATACAGGAACTAAATACATTTTAGAATCAAATGCAGAGCTATTTTCCAATCAGGATGGTTAATAGTAAAAGTAGACTTAGATCTGTGGTCCCTCAGGTTTTTAATTTTGACCCATTTCCCAAAATTTCCCCACAGATTTCCACAGTGCTTTCCCTTCAACAATCCACATATTTCCCACGGTGCTTTAAAAACAAACCCGCTGAATCTCCCGCACCACGGTGATTCGATGTGCTCGGCCCCAGGTGTAGCGACCTTCCTGGTGCGGACTTGGTGAGGAACAACTTCAAGTCGAATCGGCCACAATTTATCCAGTGGATCCACAGGAAACCATGGTTTTTACCATCAAATATAGGGGTTTCCGGCTAAAATTTTCAACCATCTTTCAACATGTAACTGGTTGGTGGTGCAATTTCACCATCTTGAAAAATCATGGAGTTCGTCAATGGGAAGGATGACATCCCATATATGAAATGGAAAATAAAACATGTTCCGAACCACCAGCCAGAAATGGATGGTGATAAGATGAGATTTGAGGTTGTCGTTTCATGAATGATTGACAACAGAGATTGGCTCTCATGATACCTTGCTTGGTTTAAAGTGTCAGCATGATCAAACAAATTACCATCTGGTAATTTAACATAGCTATTGAAAATGGCAATTTATAGTGAGTTTTCCCATTAAAAATGGTGATTTCCCATAGTTATGTATGTTTACCAGAGGGTAACAATCAGTTTGCACATCAACTGAGCCGAGATAGTCTCGATATTTGCGGTGTCAAAGTCGGAACCCTTTTATGCGTGGCCTGGTGGCCTGAAGTGCATAATCACACCATGGGTAAAAACATAGTTAAATTATGTGGGTTTATTCTATGTCGTGCCTGTTTTGAACATCAAAAACATATCAACTACCCACTCACTGGTTGTTTCAGTGACTTGATTATTTGGACGGATTTTCCCTGAATATTATAGGTATCGATTGATATTTAGTGATATTTATTGATATTCAATTTTATTGATATACTACTATTATTATGAATATAATTTCATCGTAGTTTTATATTTATTGATATTTTTCTTGTCCGGGGGCTGGTGATGGCTGGTGATTGCGCTTTCTGATTGGAGATGGGATTGGCTGGGCAGCCCCTTGCTTAAGCACAGTTTTAGGAACTATATTCATTAAAATAGTTATGTATATGATTTACTTACATCCAATTTTTAATTCATTAACTATGTTCATCTACTTTTATTCACTTGAATTACTCACTACAGTCATGTAATTCACCTACATCCATTTTGTAATTCCATTTTCTATTCATCATAACCCGCACAAAAAACCATACGTGCAGTTCCCATCACCGTCCATCTCCGCCTGCGCATAGGTCTTCCACTTTCGTGGACTGTCGTCAGAATCAGGCCTCGGCAAATGAGGGTATCTACCTCGTTTCATTGGAAACACCTGGGTAGTAGATGGGTAAAGACAGAACTATTCCGGTGAAGATTTTGACACACTGTGCTTGTTTTGGGGTTTGACAACCAGGGGTGTCAGTGGTTCGTATACCCTGCCATTTTGGGAACATGCTGATTCAGTGTCCGAGTCCGCTGAGGTTATCATCCTCTCTCTTGGGCGATACAGGCAAGGCCCGAAAAAATAAACAGTTCCTCACCAAGTCCCCCAAATTGTGGAGCCAATGGGAAAATGAAAACCATCAAAACTTGGCAACATCTTGGACTTTTGGACAACGACAAATCTCTGACAACACTACTTGGGGGTGCAGAACTAAGATGACCTTGCTGGGACTCTCGGATTTTAACCTCTGGGATATGGGGCCCCCAGAACTATGGCTTTTTTAAAAGCCACATCCATAAGTGGAACTGCACCTCAAAGTAGACCACCATATTGATTGTGAAATATTGTGAATGGAGGTTCCCCTCAAACCAAGCACCAATCCAAACCATAGGTCAGAAAAGCCAAGTCTTACCAATGACAATGAGGGGAATCCTCACCTATACGCAAGTTGCCAAAGAACCTGAGCGCCGATGGAAACCCATAGTCATGTGGGTACCCCAAGCGAGCTTAGGATGGTTTATTTCATGGAAAAACATGGAAAAACCATCTATAAAATGGTTATTTCATGGTTTATTTCATGGTTTCCTGATGATTTCTGTCCCCATATTTCAGGAAACCACCAAAGCCTCCAGAAACACCAAGGTGCAAAGGAAAACCTTGCAACTGTTGCAGCAACGCTAGCTGCTCGAAGAGCTTCGACCTGTGGAAATCCACAGGTCCAAAAACTTCAGAAGGTGGGTGGGTTACACTTACACCGTCTCCCAAATAATGGGATTTAATGTTTATATTGGGTTTGTGCTTTACATGGGCCAATCGGCCAGATACCCTGCAAAAAATAACAAATTCTTAGGTTAGTAGATCATCCCATTGATACCAAAAGACTAAAGGATTAGTTTCTACCCATCCAAAATTGACCTAGTTTAAGGTTTGCCATAGTTGAGGTTTCCCCTAATTTTCTTGAGTGAACTCCCAAAAAAATGGGTGAATTCGAGCCACAAACCACAGAAAAACATGGTGGATGATTCCGTGACAAAAACCACTACTGGTTGGTGGTTTCAATCCCTACGCCTCTGAAAAATCATGGAGTGAAAGTCAGTTGGGATTATGATTCCCAAGATGATGGGAAAGTCATAAAACATGTTTGAAACCACCAACCAGTATCTCATTAACTATCATTAACCATCATTTATTAAGCACTATTAACCATAATTAACCATTAATGGGTGGATCCAACACAACCATGGGGGATCACTATATACTTTTGGGGGTTCCTAAACATGGGGGATCCAACACAACCAGCCAGTGAGCCAACTGAGAGATAAAACTCTTCAAGCTGCTTGCGTTGCCACAAAAACACTTGATTTTTGGATGACCAATCAACAAGTCATCCCAACCAAGAGGAGAAGACTTTCATCGTCATAGTCAATCCCAGAGTGGAAAGAGCAGCCAAGGCTGCCAGATTGAGAGCACAATTGGTGCCACAATTGGTTCAGTGTTGTCACTGTCACCTGAATAGTGCAGTGCTTCAACAACCAGTCGCACATGTCGGTTTTTGAATACCTTGGTACGGTGACAGTCCCGGGTCGCTTTTTTGTACTGCCCGAAAACCTTTGCATCAATAACGCGACTCAACTCCTTCAATGCCGGACTCCATGAGCTATCCCATGCGCTAACGTCTCCGCCAATCAAGTGGCGTATCCCATAGGTATCGCAATGACCACCGATGTACTGCGCCCGTTCCTTTGTGGACATTCCTTTGACCACGAAGCGAGAGTTCTTGGCAATGTGTGACCACTGCTTCCAATAGCATGCCAGGCGTAAGGTTCGTGAAGGCTCTGGACTTTGATATGACCTGGCAGCCTTGCCTGGAACGTGCAACAACTCCGCTTTCACCTGATTGGTATATGTCTTCGAGTAGATCAGGTCGGCCACAGTCCAGCGGAGGAATTCAACAGCAGTGCCAATGCTCAAAATAATTGGAGCTTGGACGATTTGGGGCTACCTCCATTTTAGGACACTTCCACTTTCACAATTTGAAGGGCGCTTTCTGGATATGAGTTCATGGATAGCGATCTACATACCTGGTGTCGGTGGTTGGTGGTGTCAACCCCTTGAATACTTCCAAAATAGTGCTGGAGCAGCAAGAACATTTCAAAACATTCATCAGTTAGTTAGTAAGTCAGATAGTTGAGTAGTTCGTTAGTTCGTTCGTTGGTTAGACCTATTCTTCACCATTTTTAGGTCTTTCATACCCTCTATACATATATCATTTCCAATCTTAGTACCCTGCAAAGCAAATTCTTAGCTGGTTAGTAGAATCTACCAAAAGACTAAAGAATTAAAGTACCCATCCAAGATTGACCTATATCTATATATATATACACACCTCCTTTGTTGGTCAAATCAGCTTTGCCAACTAAACACTGCATGACGGGTCAGGTTGCAATCCATACGACCCATGAGCCACTCCAAATGTAAAGGGTAGCCAAATGATTGGTGATATAGGGTTTTCCATAAATAGGGGTACCCCAAAATGGTTAGTTTATAATGGAAAATCCGAAAATAACATGAATGATTTGTTGGGGTACCCCCATTTCAGGAAACCTCCATATATACCCATTTTACCAAACTGTTGTCACTTTATAAATCAACATCATCATCAGTCTTTGACAGTCACTTTTAGCTGGTTTGTAACTATATACGCCTCATCCAAATTGCCAAACACATACAAAAATATATCCATTTATCCAGAACTCCATTACCATCATTACCAAGGCCTATATTCACTCACAAGAACTCTGCAGCTCGCGGGTGCGCCTATCCACCGTGTCGAAGAGGAAAACAACGTGTTGACCTGCGACAGTTGGGATCAACGTGTTCCAATTTCTCTTGAATATACCTCAGCAAATATAAGTGCCAATATGATTTAACACACTATCCGTATGTATATCTATATCTATATCTATATATATATTCTATAAGATAACCACAATTACATGATGGTGCATTCGCATTTACTCCATTGTTCACTGGTACGTGGAGTGTTTCGTCAATGCCATCTTTACCAACCAAACTTCTGTCCTTGCTGCGAAGCTGTCAAAAGTATAGAATGTCAAGTCAACCAATATCATGACTAATCTGAGATACCCGGTTCAAAAAAAAATCCTTAGCAATTACATATCCCCATTTGTGGCAAATTGAACTGCTGAACCAGGGTTCGCGCAGTGAATACCTTGCCAATTGGACGCTTTGGCAAGCCAGTCACACACATCGGACGATGGATACCACAATTGAACTGTGTACGTGTTGGCTGTACTTGGATGTTCCAGTTTGTAAGTTGTCAAGTAAGGTTCTAACATTGTGTAACCCACAATAAAAATGAGGCTTCCCAAGTCATGGTACCTTAAATCATCCAAGATCAGACCATTTGGGGATCCATCATCTTAGCAAAGCCCCATATGTACACAAGATATGTGCAGGCTGACGGGATCTTTTCAAGTGCTTTCAAATACGGCATATGATCAAAGCTGGCACTTTTGAAAATCCTCAACCAATGTCCATTTAGATCCATTTACCATCTGGCTATTTAACATAGCCATGGACAATCACCATTATTAAGTTTGGTAAAGCCAGGTAAACCATCTATAAATGGGCCATTTTCCATGGCTATGTTAGTCATAACCATCTATTTCTATGGGCCATCTATACCATGGCTATTTTTCACAGTCATAACCAGAGGGTAGATCCAGTTAGATCCGTCTGAATCCATCTCCATATCATCATAGTACTGGTTGGTGGTTGAGCCCTACCCCTCTGAAAAATGATGGAGTTCGTCAGTTGGGATTATGACATTCCCAATATATGGAAAAATAAGATTAATGTTCCACACCACCAACCAGTAGTAGCATCTGCTTACAGATGATTTTCCTCCCAAATTTGGGATCCAACCGACGTTCCATGTCGCGCCGAATCCAACCTTGCACGTCTTGCCAACGAAATCGAATGTTTGGATCGCCGGAAGGAAAGCTGTCCCAATCCACGGCGGCAATATCTGCCAGCGACGGGAGGCGCTACAAGGAGTTTTGTCACTAGCTGAGAAATATCACCAGTAATTACCAGGAGTAATTACCAGTTATTATCTCCACTAATGAATCATTACTCCATTAGGTCATACAACAAACAATCTAATGGAGTAATGACTACCTGGAATTGGAAGGTTTGGAGTAAACACCACTGGATCCGGATTGGCCAAGTCACCTGAGATTGTGAGTACTACAAAGGTTAAACTATCCCCCCGATAGGTACCATCTGGTTATTTAACATAGCCATGGAAAATCACAATTTTTAATAGGTAAACCATCTATAAATGGGTCATTTCCCATGGCTATGTTAAATAACCAGATGGTACGTCAACAAGGTCTTGGGAGGCCTTTTTTCTTTCGAGCAGCCCTAATGCCCTAGTTGAAAACTCTTCCACCATTGATGAGGAATCAGTGTTGCTGGAATTAGGTGCATGTGGGCATCCATGGGGACAATTCTGTTGGAATCAGCTGCGTAGCAGCATCCATGGAGGTTTCGATTTGATGAAATCAGCCTCATACTAGCACGAAGGAGGGGTCAATTCTGATGACAGCCCCTGTGCTCTGGCCAAAACTGAGGGGACCTTACCGGGGAGCGCATTACTAACAGGATTGCAAGGGCACCGAATTGACTCTATTGCCCAAACATCTGGGAAAAAGATGGTAAAAGGGACTTTGCATAATCTAAATACGGGAGGAACTACTAATCCTAGACCTACCATAACGGTTGTCTAACATTGGTCCACCGCAACAACGACCAACATAACAGTGGCACTCCAACATGAAAAGATCCATGAAATTCAACCCACCAAGAGCAACATGACTAAAATACATCGCAGTGGCTGTTGGCTGTACTGATAATATTTACAGATCAAATCCCAGCCGTTCACATCTTTATTCCAATTTGGTACTCTCTGGTAATTTAACATAGCTATTGAAAATGGATCATTTATAGTTGATTCACCTATTAAAGATGGTGATTTTCCATAGTTGTGTTAGTTTACCAGAGGCTAACTTTTATTATTGCTGGTCTTTGATTCTTGGATGATATTTTCACAGCCACAGCTTGCATTTTCTGATTTCCTACTCCCAAGAGGTACGCGAAGACGGATACTTGGGGTCCAGTGGCTACCACAAACCGAAGCTGGCTGTTCGATCTCTTGGTTTCCGTCACCAATGACATCCATTGCCGACTTCTGAGGGTACATGGCTAACCTTACAATGACACCCAGATCCCTTTAGCAAATCTCAACCTACGCCAAGGTGACTTCAGGAGCAAGATGAGCATAACAAATCTTCATGTCGGACCAGACCGTCTGCAGGTTCTGCACTCGCGTGTCCGACTGGTGTAGGTACATCGTTGGGTATCGATATGATTGTTGTGCATATAATCCAGGCAGATCGACGCTCACAGTGGTCGTGGTGGAAGTGACAATCCACACATGGAAAGTTCGTGCTCAAGCACGTTTGCCATTCTTGCACGTGGAGAACATTTTCCAAATCGTTCCATTTTTTCGGCATTTAAGTATGTTATGGGGACAAACCAGTTGCAAATGGTACAATCCTAGCCAGGAAATGATCAGCCAGGGCCGCCATCATCAGTTAGCACTTGCGATTCTCCTCTGAGGAGTTTTGTGGTTGGGGATGGGATGTGGTTGTTGATCTTATCTGGAATATCTGGAATAACTTTTACTATGTTCATAAAATACGCAGTGTTTCTTCACAAAAACCTATGTTCACTTTAGGTACCCTCTGGTCAACTAACAAAACTATGGAAAATCACCATTTTTAATGGGAAAATCCACTATAAATGGCCATTTTCCATTGCTATGTTAGTTCACCAGAGGGTATTCAATAAAGGGATGACAGAACTCAGATTTGCTTTACCAAACATGGTCGGTCTTAGATATGCTGCGTTTCTTTTGAAGCTTGTTGGCGCATTATCATTTACCCTCTGGTAAACTAACATAGCTATTGAACATGGCCATTTATAGTGAGTTTTCCCATTAAAAATGGTGATTTTCCATAGTTATGTTAGTTTACCAGAGGGTGTATCAGAGATGAGTTAGGATACAACGACATCCAAGGTTTATGCAGTACTCTCTACACTTTTCCATTATGTCATTTTATTATCCGCACAGTTGTCGCTTATATCTTGCCATACATTAATATATATATATATGTATATACATATATAGACACCATTATATCAATAATGTAGTATATAATATGTAATATATTCTAATATTATACATAATTAATATATTATCAATAACTTATTATATCATTATTATATATTACATCCTGTAATATTTGAAATATATCCCAGTTATTCACGACCTTTTCAAGTCTCAGTTCCATGACTCCAGCTGTTAAAATAAGCCCAGTTTCAATGAGAATCTCAGGACCCTAAAATGGCTGTACCAAATGAGGTCCCATATTTTGCGGAGATATTCCCTGAAATTTAGACCTAGAAATTTCAACTTATATATATTTTTTGGTCACCTGGTAAATCTAGGTAGCCTGTCAAACATGGCAATGGGAGATCCAGAAAATTTATAGATTTTCCCAGTCAAACATCCGTTTATATGGGATTTTCCAGCCAGCCATTGACAGTTCTATGACTCCCTCGGACTGCCTTGAGATGCCGAGCCAAGCTTCTTGGCCAAGTCTTTACCTCAGGAGTTAACCACAAACCCCCCTGGTCGGTTACGGCGTGGGATATAAATCCTGACACATCATGGAACTGATTTACATAATCGTTATATCCATGATATGTCCATAAACATGATGTACCACCAATGGTAAGTTACGGGGGTGTTAAACTAGATATTTTTATAGGATATATGTAACCTGACATAACAAATGATTTTCACCAACAGTCACCAAAGCAACGGGAATATTAACGGGCAATATTTACTAACATTGGGGTATGGGCATGGGTATTATAGGGAAATCATGGGATACAGCAGTTGATGGGGATTCTTTTGGATCTATTTGGGATTGACCTGCAATAAATAATCGATGTTAATGGAATGTGATTTGGGTCAACGCATTTAATCCTCAAGAACCCTTACATCCTTTTGGCAGTGATGGATTTGCAAACGTTGATCCATTTTCCTGGGGCTCACCCGTCATACGCGGAGAAGGCAGATGCGGCAGATGCCAGAACGGATTAGCTCTAGCCTGGGATGTTTCTGTTTTCTGATGTTTCCTGCATCTACGGCTACAGTCATCGTGGATACCCCGCCAAAAAAGATGACGCAACCCTGAACTGGGTATGGACTAAGTCCCCCATTGAACTCTTCAATTACTGGAAGGTACCTCCAACAGGAATATATCTCTGCCAGCCCCTGAATCAGGGCTATGAATCCAGGCTTCCTGCAGGGAACATCAACCTACCAAGGTTTGGCGGTCAAGAGACCGATCTCCAAGAATTTCAAATGGATCGCTTAACAAAACTAAACATCAGCCAACTCTGTACTCCAATGCACCTCTTGATGTAAAGGAATTGCATGGATATCCAAAAACAAAAAGGGACATTTATTGTTGGGATAATGAGGTTTCCCGAACTTCCTTTCGGAGACAAACTCATGTCAATTCCTGACTTGATGGATCAGCCGACCATGCAGAACTTGCTGGAAATTTCATATATATATATACATATATATATATTTAAAATATTGTGCGTATATATATATTATAGAGCGATATTAATTCTTATGATCTAAACATGGTATGAAATCTGCTTTGTCTTAACTTAGGGGTCTAAACTATCGTGACCAACAAATGACATCTTAGAATATCTTAGACCATTCGTGGATCTTGGCTAAATTTTCCCAATTCACATAGTATAATGCAGGATCCACAAAAACAACGCACTCCCATGGGTCGACCAGTCGGGGGCTATTGCAAATCATCACAAGTAGAGCTATGCGCGAAAGTAAACCCGACCTGTGGATGGAGACTAGTAGTTCCACACATGTACCAAAAAATTACTATATCGGGGTTTCTTAACATGGGGAATCTCCAAAACCATAGGTTTCAATACTAAAATCGTCTAATTTTGGATGATTTAGGGGTACCCCCTATCTTAGGAACCCCCCCCATATACCAGCTTTAAAATACGACGCAGCAGTTATAGTTTTCCAATGGTTAGGTCAATGGACATCGATTTTTCTTTTTGATGCAGCTCTTCCAGATTTCGCCATCGCTTTGCACCGAAGTAGCGCACCGGATGCTGTCATCAGCATGTGGCTTAACTCAAGCCGTTTTTCATCCAGCGATCAGAAAAATGCACAGAGAATCCACCACGCAAATTTTCTTCCAGGAAAATGAACATGACTGATACAAATTTCTTGGTACAAAAATGGTGGGATACTGTGACAGACACATTGAGAATTGCCATTTGATTGAAACATACAATTATCAACCACGAGTTTGTTGGATACCGCATTTTCAGACAAAACTAAATATTCCATCTATTTGTTGATCAGCAGCAAGCATGAAGACATTCACCAACAGAGCGACAAACTCCCTTCTTGGATGTGCAAGCCAGGCATTGGAAGTGCTGCATGTAGTCCCCTAAATTTATAGATTGGGGATATTCCATAAAAAATAACTGGATGAATATCTCAGTCCAAGTTCCACCCACTGGGACTTTAGTCATAGCTTCCTAGTCATCTCAGGTATTTACCAAAACTACGTCAAGAAGTGGGACGCTCCCTCCAAGTCCACCATGGTTAATCCCATGATTATCCCACTTTTCCATTGCCTATCCGGTCACAATTTGGTTCCAAACTGGGGCCCCGCAGTGATGTTTGTTGCGAAACCCCATAAATCCTCACATTAGGATCTACCCCACGATCATCCATGATATCAGCTATTAATTCTCCAGTATATCATTGAAAAAAATCCATGGCTTTATCCCATTGATGGTTAATTAATATGTAGTATATCATTGATATCAATGGTTAATGTATATTGATAGTCGCTAATTGATATCAATGGTTATTAATATCATCCATCCAATGGTAATTTATCTCCAGTATATTCTAAATAGTATATTCTACATTCATATATTCTTCGGTATATTCATTAATATTCTACATCAATATTAGTATATCATTGATGGTTAATGTATGTTAATATTCCATTGATATCTTATTTACCTGCGAGATATCCATTAAAAACATGGCTTCAAGAGATCCATGGACGTGATAAAAATCGATTCTAGATCCATTTTAAATCCAGGAATGTGGGTAAAACAACAATAAACCATCCCGCAGTCATCAGCACTTTGATAGGTAAAATGTTTACCATTCCCAGTCATGGGTGGTAAACATGGCATTGTTTTACCCACATTACCCTCTGGTACACGTTTACATATCTATAGAAAACCACCATTTTTTGAATAGGTAAAATCAACTATACATCCATTAACTATAGTTACAATCCATTATAATCAACTATACATCTATCAACTATACATTCATCAACTATACATCCATTAACTATACCTCCATCAACTGCTTCATTAAAAATCCATTAAACATCAATGGGCTTCTCCGGACAGCCAAGGCGCCCATCTTTTCGAGCCCCGGCGCGGCAATGATCAGCGGAGGGCCCGACTCCAACAACTCCTTGGAGAAAAACACATGGAGATTTCCATGGGATTTAGCCTGCAGTAAATTAACATAGACCCGGTTGGAAGACTACAAGGTGGTGCCACATAGTTAGCTAAGTTGGTTTATAAGTCCCATAACTATGGTTTATGGTACTGATAACTATAGTTAATGGGGTTTATAAACCCACTTATAACTGGGGGGCACCATCCTGTAGACCCTGGTAGAAAACGGGGTTGGAAGACTAGTGAAACCACTATTTTTATTGGTCATTTTCAGGGTCCAACTGTTAATTTACCAGAGGGTAATTTTTCACCAACAACAAATACGGATTTTCCATCGAATTAATTGGATGTATCCTCCAGTGATCCGTGGCGTGACATCCACCATTTAGTTCGATGGGGAAAACCAACCCCATGTTTGATTTACTGGTACCACAGGCAAGTTAGCTTATCGAGCTTAACTTAGGCTTATGGTGGATTTCTGATCTATTGATGGGCTTGTAAAGCAATGTATAGTTGGGTGGGCAGCGGCGGGCATCGCTTTGTAACGATGGTTCGATGTACCCTTTGAGATATTAATCTATATAGTCTATGGTCATTCATCACACTGGGACTCCATACAATGGGTGTATAACTCCGTATTATTCTCAAGGGCTCGGTATATAATTCATCTGGTTTCTAATCATTGTTCACTCAATTTGAGGGATTTGCAACATGTATATTTAGTAGATTGTCAACTTCGGCGGAGTTGGTAGATCTCATGTAGTTTTCCTCAAAAAAGAACTGACCAACTGTACACTACCATGTTGATGGCGCTTCTTTTCCATCTTTGTCGGGACCGAATATTGTCACTTCCCGATCTGAGCCTCACTTGGATAGGTTTCAGTTGCCATGTATGGTTCCTGGGTCCGTGACATCCAAAACAATGTGAAATCTCTTCCAAAGCATGGTCTAGAACCAACTTCCGCATTTCTGGTGCACCAGTCAACAGGAAAATGAAAAACATTGGTCTAAACGGTGCATTAAAGATTACCCTCTGGTAAACTAACGTAACTATGGAAAATCACCATTTTTAATGGGTAAATCCACTATAAGTGTCCATTTTCAATAGCTATGTAAACGTTTACCAGAGGGTAAACCATATGGATCTGTCTGAGAACCTAATACCCCTGCATTCCATGCTTGTTCATCATACATCCCAGGAAATCAGTATTACAACTTAGATAATATCCACTGGTTGGTGATATACCTACCCCTCTGAAAAATATGAAAGTCAGTTGGGATGATTATTCCCAATATATGGAAAAATAAAACATGTTCCAAACCACCAACCAGTCCACATATCAAATGGTCGCTTCAAAACTATTTCTATCTTTTTTGGGTTTGCTATAAATGATATTCCACTAAAAAAAATCCCCAAGATATTGGGCAGTACAATCCCATAGAATATATGGAGGTTTCCTGAAATGGGGGTACCTCCAAATCATCCATTTATAGATGGATTTTCCAGCCAATAAACCAACCAGCGAGCTCGGGGATTCTTCATGACTATGGAAACCCCCATATATCAACCAGCAGATGTTTCAACCATCTTCACAAGGTGGTGCCCCCCCAGTTATAAATGGGTTATAATCCCATTAACTATAGATATAACACCTATAAACCATAGTTATTGGACTTATAAACCAACTTAGCAACTGAAATTGTGAGATCATCAGGCATCCTCCATATTTTCCCAAGCATCGGTGGACACATCTGCTGCAGCACACTCGGAGCGGCAGAGCGTGGCTTGCTGCTGCCCCATGGCCACGGCGAGGAAAGTTAGCCGCAACGTGGTGCCAAGTGGCGCTGAAATCAGGTCCAAATGGTGACATCGGGTTTGAACCACAACCAAACTGGAGACTCAAACTCTAAAGTGGATGGAGTTTGAAGATGAAATATGTAATAATTTGTTGCAAGATGTGGATTTTTCATCCATATCTGAAGTCATGTGGCCTTGGGCCTGCGCCTGATGATCTTTGTTTCTTGAAAATGGCACCCAGGGAGGAACAGGGCTTCGGCTTCGAGCCGAATCGGCACGGGAGAATAACCCTGGCCCCAGATATCTTTAGGGAATTTGGTAAAATATAAAGGGGCAAAACGACAGAATTTCTCCCTTCTTGTGGCAATCATTTACGTACAATAGGTTGGAGCAACCCTGAAAATCAGTTGAATCGACTTTTATCGCATAGGTTTCCTAAGTCATGGGGGTACCCTCAAATATCCAAGTGATTAAACCATCTTAGTATTGAAACAAGCATGGTGACTTGGGGATCCACCATGTTTAAGAAACCATCAATTGAGTTCTGATTCGCGGCCAAACACTTGGGCTGCCACTTACGCACTGTCCTTGGCCTGATCTGAAGATGTTTGGACCCAAGCTGCATAATCTGTGGCTGGTATTATCATCATATTCGCTATCGCATCTTCGGCGGTATCTCGCATTTTGAGACACCTCAAATATCTAGTGTACTTAGATGATTAAATCCCATTTCGGGTTGTCAATATATCAATAATCATAATACAGTAGCCACACACACATAATATATATATATACATATGTATAATATATATACATTATATATATATATACAGATACATGCAACCATGTATGCATATGTACACAATATGTACATATGCATATATATATATACATACACATATTCCTCCGATTTTGCACGGTCATTGACCATCTCCTTCCGCTAAACACATTCCTGGGCAGTCCTTTGGGCAAGGTCGAAGCTTTTCTGGAAGGATTCGATGCCTGTGTTTGGCTCGTTGCTTGGCTGGTTGTACTGCATTAATAGTACAATAAATAGTAAAATCTATAGTAATAAGTATCTATAATAATCTTTCATGATCTTTAATAATCTATATATCCCACATTAATAGTACAATAAATAATAGTATGATATATTCTACATTAATAGTACAATAAATAACATTAAATATCAATAGTAGATCTTAATATTCATAGTACAATAAATATTAATGGTGGGTTTCCATCCAACAATATAGCATGATATATACTACTGTATGATAGTTGCGAAATCCTGCACCAGTTGATAGGTGGTAAACATGCCATTATTTCGAGGGTTTCAAACATCCTTTTGGTGGTGCCAGATTTCTTCCACCCACCGTATGGTTTCGTGTTTTTTTCAGTTTGGGTTTTGTCTGAAAATAGGGTATCCCTGAATTGGTGGAGAAAATCATTTTCCATCATTTTCCCTATCAAAATGGGTTTGGGGGCATACCACATTTTTAGACACAACCGCTTCTTTTTGTGCTTGAATATTTCTCTGTTTGTTTCTCTGTCTGTGTTTTTTTTTGGTTTGCTTGCTCTTTGGTTGACTGATTAATTGATTGCTTGACTGCCCTGCAAACGATTCATTGTTGTGGTTGCTGGTCTTGTTCTTTGATCGGTTGGATGAAGCACAGCACACCACTCGACTGAACCACAAATTGCTCGCTTGGTACACCACGCCGGTCAGCAACAAATTCACGCCATGCTGCACATTGTTCCACTTTGCCTCCCAGCAGTGACTCTGCAGCGCCACACGCCTGTATGTCCGAACAACCACGTACATTTTCAAAGCAAGTTGTTCGGGGTCCTGATTACCCACAACAGTAGCCAATGCGCGTGCGCAGAGATCAGATGGTTCATCGTTGACTTTCATGATGTGTAGATACCCAAACCAGACATCCAGCTGCTCCAGTGGCACGTGCAGGAACCACCGCACAGGATTCGTTGTACTGGTTCCAAAAGTCAATGCCAATGGATGTCCGTCGGCTTGTGCGGCAATACCGCGAAAAAGTATCGTGGTTTCTAATGCCCAAAAGGCCTGGTGATGAATGCTTAGGGTTATTTGTAAGTGGTTTGATGAAGACTATCACAATCTAACATGAGAACCGCTATCACCCAAAGAGTAGAAAGCTATGATAGAAACTTTGGAATTCTTCCTGCACTTGGATGCATATCCTATCTGGCACCTGACTTAAAAGCATAACACACAGGATTTTGATGTGTACCTTGTGCATGGCTTGTTCACCACTTACTGATGATAACTCCCATACTTTTAAAGTGAAGTACTCCCTGGATACAGTATATATGGTATGTATATATATATACACACACGGTAGCTACATTTAAATATACGGACTTTTAAATATACGAACAGGTATTTGAGACTACCTCTGGGAAAGTTTTCCTTGGCCCGCCCGGCCATTTAAACATACGGGATCCAATTCATTTAAACATACGGTAGCTACATTTAAATATACGAACTGGTATTTCATTCTACCTCCGGGGCCTCTCGGTCTGGCCCGCCCTCCACATATTTAAATGTTCGTATATATATATATATGTGTATGACGAACATGTGCGATGAACGGATATAAATTTAGGATATATCTGGGTAAATTATAATAATTCACAAACCTGAAATAAGGCTATTTTGGGATGATTTCCAATACTAACCATTATTCCAGTGAGGTCGCAGTGAGGTCGTTATAATTTACCCAGATATTTGGCATCAGTGGTTTACTAATGCGTGATTTATCCATTCGTATCCAGTGGAGCACGGTTCATATCCCCTATTGGTTGATAACTGCAATACAGCTATACTATTCTGAAAAGCAATGGAAAAGCAATTTCGGATATGCTATCCAGGTATAATTTCCTATTCATATTTCCAACTGCAAAAAAACTATTGGTTGAAACTGGGGAGAATCATCATCCTGAAAAGCCCTATGAAGCAACCAGCAGGTTTTGGACACACAGCTCAGTTATGTATCCTCTGGTATCCTAACATAGCTATGGAAAATCCATTGCAAAAGATAGGGCATGCCGTAACACACTGATAGATTACAAAGGATGTATCTTCCGAAAAATATCAGCCCATATCGCCATTTCGTCAGTTAAACCCATCAAACCTCATCAAGCAACTATTGAATGTGAAATTAACTAGATATACCCATTTCAGGATTATTCCTTACCCACCGGGAATCAAACGTACCATATTTGCCATGAGGGGGTTTTCCATTGCCACATTTGTTGACACCGGTGGGTAAACCATGTCAAACCCACAGTATTACCCATTAACCACCATTAAACCACTATTAAGAGTAAGATTGTCCATATATTCCCGTTGAAGGATCATTCAGCCGTAGTAAACCACTACTATATCCCTATTAGACCACTATTAGATGATTTCCTTAAAATTTCCCATGAACACCTCCATGAATAGGAGATTTTCCCATTAAAGCCTCCGTGTACCCTCTGGTAATTTGTTACATAGCTATGGAACATGGCCATAGAAAGTTCGTTGATTTACCCATGCAAAATGGTGATTTTCCATAGTATGTAAACGTTTACCAGAGGGTAAGAATTATCACTGGGATGAAAGAACTCCTAGAACTAATCTATAACTATGATTATATATCATTATAATCCCAAGAATTGTGACTAAGAACTGTTGGTTTACCAGAGGGTCATCCATTTTATTTGCGGATTTTCCACTATAAACCATCCAGTTATTGTGGTAATCCCCATTTATGGAAACCTTCATCTAAGTCCCCCAATGCTGAACCAGCGCCGAGTGACACGACGGATGGATCGCTTTCCAGCGTCAAATGCCATCGTGGCGGCTTTAGGGACTCGTCCTATGGCGATGTGCGACGATGGAAAGCGCACACGATTATATAGGGATTATAGTAGGAATTGATATAGGTATTTAATATACCCAGTTATAAACCATTATAATCCCAAGCGCACACTGTTGAAGCCATTTGAACATAGGGATTCAAATAGCCATAGGAATACCCAATCCATTTTCATAGGGATTTTCATAGTGGGTTTATAATTAATCCATCACGGGGTATGAATGGGATATCAACCATCAACAATGGGAATATGGGGAATCACTCAGTGATGTGTGGAACATATCAACTACAATGTGGGACCCCCCAGTTATAAATTGGTTTATAAACCCCATGAATACTACAGTCATAAGTATCATAAATCATAGAATTCTTGGAGTTATTTGCACCAACTTAGCGATTTCGTGGCCACGGGAGCCCCGCACTGTAGGATTTTTTTATGGGATTTCACAGGGCCGGTTAATTGCATAATCGGATATATTTGAATCTATTCCATATCTAGATATATAATCGTCCTGAAGGAGATAGAACCAATGGCCATTTCAGGAACCTCAATTAGAGGTACCTACCATATAAGGCCTATATAAGTCCCAACATATGGCCTTCGAATAGGGGGAGTTCGAAGAAAATGAGGGACCCCCAAATCATCCAAACATTGTCATAATGTCAACCCCGGATTAATAAAGATTGATTAGGGGGGTACTCCCCAAATAGTTAAAATCCAATATTTTTCCATGGTACCCGCCCAATGAAACAGCCGTAAACGGGGTTCAATCCAATCCAGGGTTGACATTAGTTGGATTCCTATGAATAATAACAATCATTGACCATTATTAACCATTATTAACCATCATATAACCATTATATTACCATAGTTATACCCCAAATTCTCCCCGTTCTCCCGGTCTCCAGCGGTCCAGGAACATGAGTTTTCCCTTCTTGCCGTTGAACTCCTTCGCCTCCAAGCCGTGTAAGATCACCCGCTGTTTGGGCCGCAGCGTGGGTCGAGGTTCCGCCTGGGGTGTGGTCAAACCAGCTTAAGTTTAGTGGAAGATATAAATGGGTATGGGTCAAAATTAGGTACCCCAAAATTATGGATGATTAATACTAAACTAGACTAACATCTGTGGTCCCCTAGGTCTTCCATTTTGACCCACATCCAAATGAGATTTAATCAACCAAAAGCCTTTGAAGTTTTGACACAAAGCCTTAGCGGCTTGAGCCAATAACATTAATCAAAAGTCAAAAGTGAAACAACACTGGGACACACTAACCAAGACATGGAATGATTGTAGGATGTTCACAAACCAACAACAGGGACATCCACCAACAAATTATGGAGATACTGGTATGGATCAAAACTTTTTATGCCAAGTATACTATATTTGGGGGGCATGAATGTCCAGCGAAATTCGGGGGCCCATGTGGGGGTTAGTTTGTATGATCGGGGAGGGTGTAAGACGGCGCATGAGCCTGTGATGGGTCATGTTGGAAACACTCCACAACTGTTGGTTTAGAAGGCTTCTGAGAATCGCTCCATCAACGGGTTCAATGGGTTTGTGGCTTCAATTGATGTGGTTGGAAATTCAGCCACCAACCTAACTAAGATTGTGTTGGATCCTAGGCCGGTTCACTCCACATGTTTCTTGCCGGAGTCAGCAGTTTTGCTGCTTAAGTCCCTATCTTTAAGTAGTTCACCATCCACCCAAGGTGAAACCAGTTCTCACCGGATGTTAAAAGAGCCAAGCGACCGGGGCACTGCCAGAGGCCATGGCGGCCATGGGTGATGCATGGAAGATGTGAACCCGAGGGCGAAGATGTTGCAAAAAACAAGTCTTTTCGGATCTGTTTGTAATTGGGCTCAGGGTCTCTAAGTTGCTATTCTCCTTCCTGGCCTTCTGAACGGCTCAGCCGATGGTTATTGCACTAGGTTGGAGGAATCATGGCACCTTTCCAATATTGTGACATACGCTCTGGTGGTCAAAGCTGTCAATGCGAACGGCCATTTTAGACACAGGGACTTTTCCATTGCCAGCGATTACCAAAGGGGATAGCCATCATGAAACTAGGCTCATGGATTCCAGGAGATTCAGTGATCATAAATGGAATTCCAACTACTGGGTCTATTAACATCTATTAACCTTTGTGAAAACGGGCTGATCATGCCAGAACTTATGGGAAAACAACACAGGTTTTGAACACGGCACATGTACCAATCACATCAGGATTAGGGCTGGCGACGGGCGATAGTGTGGCTGCAGCTGATGATGTCCGGTATGCGGCAAACTTTGTCAATCCTCAAAATGGATAATGTGTTTTTTCGAGAATAGTGAAACCGGAAACCATGGTTTTATCCGGCAAATAAGAAGGTTGCCATTGTATTTGTTCCCTTCAACCATTTCTGGAAACACAACGTGACCACGTATGTGACTCCTTTGGTACCTCAATTTTAGCCAGCGGGGGTTTCTCCTTGTCAATAAATGGCCCCGTACTACTTGTACAGAGAAGGTTCCCAGAAAACATCAACTCCCAATTATCCTGAATTGGGGGTACTTATTGCAATTCCTCTTGCATCTGGTCTATTCCCTGTTTTCCCCAGTGTTTGATGGCTAAAGCGGTTTAAACAATACATAATCCATAAGCAAGTCATACTTCATTAACATTAAGTGACATGCATTAACCAAAAGTACGTGATAATTGATTGAGAGCAAGTAAAATTCGAGTAATCGATCAGAGTTCGCCACCATTACATAATCATTTTTTCAGGCTATTTCTGGCTATTTCACTGGTATTATGTAATGATACTGGTATTATGTGAAATATTGTATTTTCAGGCCTGAAATATTCATGGTAAGTGGCCATAATACCATTGGTAAATTACAATATTTCACTTACCATTTTATATGAGGCTATTTCTGGCTATAATTTTCCAATGAGATCACTACATTTTACCCAGCCTAACCTTAACATTCACAAATGGGATTATAATCGATACATAGCCTTAGTTATAGATGAGTTATAGGAGTTGTTTCATCCCATTTATGATATTTATAGTTGATTTAGCTACGAAAAATGGTGATTTTCCAGTTCGCAAACTGTTCGTTTACCAGTCACGTCCCACTGGTTCCACCACGACGCCTGCGGCCAAGGAGTAACTCTCGCGGTCGTGCAACACGCGATCTGAAGGCTTGCGACCGATCCTGGGGGCCCAAAACGTGTTTCTGCTTTTGTACCGACATTCATTGGATAACCCATAGGATCCATGCATGCTATATATGCTAACATTGGGGGTATGTTGATGGTAAATGTTACCATATATAGCATACATGGATCCTATGGGTGATAATGGATAAGAATCAGGTAAAAGCATTAATCGGAATATCGTAATGCTATGGACCACAATATCATATCTGATAAGAATCAGAATAATAGTTGGATAATAATGGGATAATTTGGCAAAACCCTGCGGTAATCAGACCTGGCAGGGGGAAGTCATCCATAAATGAAGGAAGTTCTATTGCCACATTTGATTGCCAGAGGGTATCTATAGTTGATGGGCTGTATAAACCAACAAAAATCACTTGGCGGGCACCACGATCGTCCCATGACTCCAGTAACTTCTTAGATTCGAAATGTGTTTGTGGGATTGCTTCCGCTTCTAAATGGGAGTTTTTGTTGGTAATTCCCAATGCCATTGGCACCCACCATCCCCCACTTCACCATTGGTTCGTAAAGCGGTGCGTGCCCTGGTTACCGTTCAACTCGACTGGGTGATCCTCCAAGTAGCTTGTTGCCAACGACACGAAGATATAACTGGTTGGTGGTATACCTACCTACCTACCATTGGTTGGTAATATACTGTTAATATATGGTTAATATATATATGGTTATTATATGGTTAATGATAATAATGATAATAATAATCTGGTTGGTGGTTTCAACCTACCCCTCTGAAAAATGATGGAGTTAAAGTCAGTTGGGATGATGACATTCCCAATATTTTTTGGGAAAAATAAGATTGATGTTCCAAATCACCAACCAGATAAGATAGAATGTTAAAATCCATCTTAAAAATCCTAACACTGGGAACTGGGAACCATCTATTTTTCTGTAATGTTATTGGGGGTTACTGTGACCCAAGAATTTTAACCCTTTGAAATTGTTGCGTATATATTTATGTATATATATACATATGTATCCTTGGTGAGCATCGAACTAGCTGGCAATTGGATGTTGTACCTTCTGATAGAATCGGATTTGATAAGATCCCCATTTCCTGAATCATAAAAAAACAATCGAACATAGATGTGTATTCCCTCAAGAACACCGTTATGCAAGCGGGACATGCAATTACCAACGGGGAAGATCCTCCAAGTCGGAATGATTGATTGATATCACCATGTTGCGTTGCTGTTGCTACCATCTCATGCCCAAATATGAGCCAATCTCATGGAAAATGGATAAACCCAACATATTTTCCCTTGGCCAATCGGTGCTGAAAACTTGGATAACTTGGACATAACTGGAGCGCTGGGGATAGCTTCAAGTCACAATCGCAGTTGAATGCCGAGAAATGCCGGGAGATTAATCCTTTATTTATATGTGTAAAAATATATGTATATATACACATAATTTTGCAGTATAGTATCTTTATCTTACGATATTCACCCGAACTTGACTTGACTTTAAGTTAATTTGCTTGCTTGCCCCATGAGTTTCTGTGAACACAAATAGGCATTTAACACTGATAGGGCCCTGGGAAACTGGCGCAGCGTACATGGCGAAAGATGAAATTCGGAGCTCAAATGTAGCAAGAAACTGGGAGTCAAAATAGATAAAAACACTTCCGGGCAAAATAGCTAAACACTCACGGGGCGCACAAGGAGGATAGGGGTACTTTCATTAAAATGATTGTTATCCCATTGAAGACAATCAACGAGATTCTTCAAGTATTTTCCCACACTATATTGATAGGATTATAGGATAATAATTAGAGAAAAACCAACCAAAAATAATTATCAGTACTACTATGCCATAATCATGTGGCCTGTCAAAATTATTATCCAAATATTATCCATTAATAGGGGTATTTAATATTATTTGGGACAACTCGTAGCAGCTATAGATTTTAAGACTTGCTGATGCTTACTGCTATACTGATTGCAGATACTACACTGATCATAGCCATAAGGCTGAGATAGACCTCTGTGAATTTCACTAATCATTATAGATATATAGATTATTATATCATTATAGATCATTATAGATACTTATTAATATAGATATGTTACTGCTATGAATTCTTGAAAACAATAATACTTATTATCATATTATTATAATTACTAATCCAGTAAATTAATCCAGTATCTATAATCCATGATTACTACAATTACCATATCATTATACTTCTATCAACAGCATTCTCCATGATCTAAAATAATTTATAATAATCTATAATAATCTACAATCATCTATAATAATCTAATAATCCATTAATCTATAAAAATATATGATTAGAAAATATTAGATTAATAGGTTCATGGATTAATGTGGTTAAAACAATAATAACCCATCCCCAAAAACACCATAAATAGGTGGTATAAACCATTCCCAAATGGGTGGCTTATTATTGTTTTAACCACATTAATGATCTATAATTTTATAATCATTAATAATTAATCATATTTATTATAGATCCACAAAATTAAATCTATTAGATTGTTTTTTGTTGGGTTAAATAATCTATTTAGATTATAGATATTATTGTTGCATTAAGAAACTATTGAAAAGAAACTATTTAAAGATTTAAATCAATAGATTAGTGGGTTAACTTATGATCTACAAGTTTCTAATCATTCATATTTTTAAGTATCTTCATTAAATATAATAAATCTTTAAATAGTTTAATACATGAACATATCTCCATTTATATCAGATAATCTCTTATACTATGAATAATACAGTGGATGGTTGCGAAATCCTGCACCACCAAAAGGGTGGTTGAAACCCTAAAAATAATGGGATGTTTACCATCTGTCAACTGGTGCAGGATTTCTTCCATCCACAGTAGTATATATCACACTATATTGTTGGATGGAAACCCACCATTAATATTTATTGTACTATGAATATTAAGATCTACTATTGATATTTAATGTTATTTATTGTGCTAAAAATGTGGAATATATCATACTATTATTTATTGTAATATAAATGTGGGATATATAAATTATTAAAGATCATGAAAGATCATTATAGATACTTATTACTATAGATTTTGCTATATATCATACTATATTGGTCGATTAATATTTACCCTCTGGTTATTTAACATAGCCATGGAAAGATCCAACATTTTTAATAGGTAAACACAGGTAAACCATCTATTTCTATGGGCCATCTATACCATGGCTATGTTAAAAAACCATGGCTATGTTTGAACCAAATAAAAATATTAAGATCTACTACTGATATTTAATGTTATTATTGTACTATTAATGTGGAATATATCCTACTATTAATATGTATTCTTGGCAACTCACCATTTCCATGCGCTCTCCGAGGATCTCTGCCACCATCAGCTCTGTCATCATGCGATGCCCTGAGCCTGGTGCCACAGGTGCCGCACACGGCGATGGGCATCACAAAGAACTGGGGATCACAGAGATATACCCTGTGTAGAGATATAATAATTAGTGGTTAATAATGGGATAGACCATGGGAACATAATGGGAATATAATTCAATATTGGGGATTAGTTTGCCAGAGGGTAGCCAGTGTAGAGTTTTTTTTTTAAACGTATCTTCTAGTTTTTTTTGGCATTTTTTTTTGCATCTTCTAGATTTTTTGTAGTGTTTTTTTTGTATATTCTCGATTCTATATTGGATTTCAACGATTTTCCGGCTTGGAATTTAAACCAACTTATAGATTTTAGACTTGAATATTTTATGGTATGTAATATCATATCATATGACTATGACGGGGATAGAACCAACAATATGCCTGGCTGAATCAAAATGGGGTAATTCTGTTTTTTCATGGTGATTCAACCGTCATATCCTGGACTATAGAAACATCTGAGCTGGAGTATCTATGACCTATCAGAGCTATTTTCATTGGAGCTGGAGTAGGAATTTCTGTCTGAACTTCAACAAGCCTCCTTTGGGATTGATGCAATCCCCTTTAAAAAACCAGCAGGATTTTTGGGCAGCGAACGTAAGTGTTTTGGGGTTTTGGCCAGCAGACCTCGGGGATTTCACCATGATGATAATCTGGTCAGCAAAAATTGGGACAGAGGTGGTTGACCTTGAGAACCTTGAGAATATTGGTACAAGATCAATGGGACATGGGGGCCAGGGGATCAAATTCCAAGAGGACCTGCGGATACCGCATCACGTAAACGCTGGGAACCACTAGCGGAAGCGCCTGTGAAGTTGCTGGGAAACAACGCGCCGCGCAAAAAAAGTTAGTGCTTAATGTGTGCGATTTACTGCGTCATGGTCAAGTTATGTCAAGTCAGATGTGATGAATGTGGTATGGTCATGACGGTCATGGTCATCCCACAGCATGACTTGGTCCCAACGAACTTACGACATGGTCCACCGCGACGCATGACCTCAGCCTCCGCCAATCTTGGGCCCGGGCCCGGCAATTAAGTTGGTTTACAGCCCATCTAAGTAATTCTAAGTATAGATATATTCACCATAAATCCTGGTCATCACCGTTGTAAACCTGCTTACCTATCTAACCGGGCCATTCCTGTAGGACATGAAATCTTTCCGGAACCAACCCGCTTTTGACCTATTGTTGGCTTGGTTTCAGAGAAATGCTACGTTGACCCCCAAATAGCTCATGTAGGATTCATGGTTTCCGCTACAGATTTTCGACCAAGCATAACAGAACCCAGCTAATCCTCTCAATATTAAACACTCCCATTGTATGGTCCCATATGTGTAAATCCCATCAAAAAACTATGGTATGTCGGGGGCGCTTAATGTTAATATCGCAAATGTAATCCACTATCATCCGTTACATCAGCTATTTTCTCCTTTCTTATTTCCAGTTTTGATGGTTAATATCCCATTAATATCCCATTGACATCACATCACATCGTATCATCATAGTATCATCAAAAGATCACAATACTATCACACTACTATCATAATACCATCCCGATGATACGATGATACATTGTTTTGGTTGGATTATTATCCTATTAATACCCCATTGATGTACAAGGTGGTATCCCATAGCTAAGTTGGTTCATAACTACAACAACTAGGGCTTGTGGTAGATATATATAGAACAAGTTACTATGGTTTATAAACAAATACACATACCCTCTGGTAAACTAACAAAACTATGGAACATCACCATTTTTACTAGGTAAATCAACCATACATGGCCATTTTCAATAGCAAATTTTTAGTTTACCAAAGGGTAATTGGGGGGCACCACCTGCCGTAGGGCTTCTCAACAACGACCGTTCCCCGGTTCCGACAGGCTGCCCTCGCCTGCATAGAGCAAACCCAAGGACAACACTGCGCTGCACTGCACGGGACTTGACACCTGGCAGGCCAGGGGGCTCGGATGACCAACAAAAAAGGGGGAAAACATGGGGATGTAAGCATCAAAATATGAAGAACATATGGGACATGTGATGGACATGTGGACATATAACATCATATAACCAATCAGTGTTAATTTTCAACAGCTGCAAGATACCATTTTCCTAGAACATATGGAGCATTCAGAAAAACATGATCAGTATGTTTATTTTGATCCTATTGAACTCTATTAAACAAACCAATTTCATGGATCATTCCATCTTTTGATCATGGCACATGTCGCATGAAGCATATTATTATGATGGGGACAGGATTATTGTTGTCATTGACATCATTAAAACTTGTCTTGCAAAACTGTTTACCATAATTAAACACTTCAACGTCCCAGAAACATCCGATGAACATTGACAAATCGTAACCCACCGCGACAAGCAGAAAAACGTGGTCCTCCACATCAGAGAAGGTTGCTGGAAGCATGGATGGGATGTGCACACAGCACCTGCGAAAGGAGTCGCAGAGAGGTCACCGATGACCCCTAGACCCTGGACCCTGAGGGGGGCACTCTAGACGTTAAGTAGTTGAGGGTATCAATTAAACACATGGCTAGGATTATTTTTTGCTTGTTGGTTAAACCACCATACGGCTGGGATTTAATCGCAAAAATATGGGTTGGTGTAAAACCCAATCATTTCATGGGGATCTCATGGGATAACATGGATATCACGGGATGTATACATCATTTGACCACCAACCAACCTCTTCATGGGCAAATCTGCAGGAACAATGTGGAGAGATGCACTCATTTCACTCATTTCTCCTGCTCAATTAGATATAGTAATAATCAGTTACTGTGGTACTCGTATATATATATTTATAGATAACCCCTAGTAACTATAGATACAGTTATGTGTATTGGTTTTCAAGCATATCATACACAATTTTGGGTCAAACTCATGTAGCCCAAGGTTTTTCTTGGGTAAGTATGTTGAACCGTACTCTCATTTTGAGGGGATGCCTGCAGAATGTCGGAAGTAGCCCGCAAAAATCATCCTCGACAAAGAACACATAAGGATTGACCAACCGTTAGGGCTGCAATCCAGAATGCATCCTTGGAAGATGTGGTTCTTCTTCCTGACAATTGCTAAAACCAGATGCGGTGCCTGAGCTATGCTCTGCACATCGTAGGCCTGAGCTATGCTCTGGCCTTGCTCTGTTGCATCACCTAGGCGGTAGACTTCAAGGAGCGTGGCTTCCAGAGGCCGGAGTAAAGCCATCTTGATGTCCAAGTAATAGCCGCCACGTTTGCTCAAACGATCGTAGCGCCAGACGTCTGCTTTGTGAGCCGGAGTTGGGAATCTGGTATATGGGATGCTTTGCCTCTGCCTCAAATTCGTATGGTCATGACTGGGCTACAATCCCATTTGATCACCATATTTCTTGAAGCATCACCACATCACTATGACTCCCTCCAACCCATCCAGAAGGGCCCGCAGTGGTGTTAGTTGGTTTATAACCACATCTAGGTGTAGACATAGCAAATAGCCACTGCAAATGCTGGTTAAAGCAGGTAGAACCAACTTCTAAGGGTCCCTTGTTGTACCAAATCCGCCGGCCTGCCGGCGAGTCTTGTGGATCTTGCTTGTTCGTAGTTGCCCTGTCTGTTTTGTCTTTGTCTTGTCCGGACTTTCCCCTTGGCGCGGATTTTTGCATCGTCTAACTTGAGCCCACCCCCCTCCCCCCACCTAGCTTTTCGTCTTGATCTTTCCTTACGTTGTGGCGGGCTCAACTCTACCCACGCCTCGCTCAACACTGGCTTGGCTTTGCAAATCTTGCTGTCGTTTCGATGGTTGTTTCCGTTTTTTTGTTGTGTTTCCTTTTTCTCCGTCGCTTCTTATATCCAATACTTGATCCACTGGCTTTTGCGCCGAACACCTTTTACACGCATAACCTTTCTAAATATGACCTTTTCCAAAGCCGTTTTCAATATGGCCCTTTCCAAAACCTTGGTTTACACACATGCTTTGGTTTAAACTTAAACCGTGGCTTGAACAAAACCAATGTTTATGCGTCCAAACGATCTTTTACACAAAGAACTGTTTTACACAAAACAGTGTTATCCACAAACGCCATCTTTTACACAAAAACCCGTGTTGTTGCTCGGGCCTGTGCAAGGGCTGTTTGCAGCCTACAGGATAACTCTTTCCATGGTGGCCGGCGGAACACGCCGAAGGCGGTTAAATTGGCATTTCCTATTGGGTTTACCACATTTGCGACCTTCACAAATCACCATGCTGGTCAATATATCATTGAGAAAAAATCAATCTAATGGCACAACAAATCAACATTCTTGATCAAATTACAATCACTCGCCAACCTAACAATAAGACCAGTTGGGGATAGTTACCCCTAATGAGCATCATGTACAATGATGTCGGAGCGCAGACGTCCCAATTTATCCAGAAAACTTGAATTTATGCCTAAATTTTCTCTTAAAAAATCAGATTCCATAAGAATCTATAGTAGCTATTTTGAGATTTATAATCATTTAGTTTTGGGTCAAAACCCTGATACACTAGGTACACTAAAAATAGCCGGTAATGGATGATAATTCAAAGGTTTTGACCCATTTCCATATCACAATTTATCCCTACCTATCCCAATTTATCCATGAATTCGGATTTCATCATAATCTATAGAAACTCTGGACATTTATAACTGGTTGGTGGTATACCTACCCCTCTGAAAAATATGAATTCGTCAGTTGGGACTATGACATTCCCAATATATGGAAAGTCATAAAATTCCTTGGTTCCACACCACCAACCAGCAGTAAATCCTATTATCCCATATATACCCTCTGGTAAACGTTTACATAACTAATTATGGAAAATCACCATGCGATTTTAATAGGTAGATCAACTAACCTGAAATCATCTACCCTCTGGTTATTTAACATAGCCATGGAAAATGGCCCTAATCGAAATAGATGGTTTACCTATTAAAAACTGTGATTTTCCACGGCAAACGGTTAAATAACCAGAGGGTAAATATTAATAGTTCAATATAGTATGATATATGTATATATAGTAATGTCTATAGTAATATCTATAGTAATATCTATAGGTTAAATAACCAGAGGGTAACCTGAATAACCATTTTAATCCAACAAGTTCAACAAAGGCCCCAAACACTGGCGCGGCCACATTAAAAAAAGGGCCCCCGACGTCCGTGTCAAGGCAGCGTCCATGCTGGACAGGTTGGAGGCTGCAAGGCCCAAAATCACCGCCGCGCTCCTGAGAGGAAAGGCCTACAATAAATATATTCGTTTATTTGGGTGTGTCTGAAAATAGTGTACCCCTAACCCAATGGTTAATGATCAGTATCCCTATTAAATGGCTATAATTGGGAATATACCATATTTTCAGACAAACCCATTTATTATAATAAGTATACAATATATCTATTTGGGTTATTCAATATAGTATATATATATATTATCTCCAACTATATATATATATATATAATATACACACATAGTTAACTAGATAATACTAGATATCATAATCCTAATATCTAGTTAAATTTGGTTTAACCCTAGTAGTGGGAATACTAAACAAATTAAACCACCATCTGTTAATGATAGACTAGTTAAGGGGGATATTTCTAACCCTACATGTAAACTACAATGTGCTAGTTTTATCTGTAGTTATTATGAACATGTGATGATATTCTATGGGAATATAATGGAATAAATGGGATAATGAAATATGATTGAACATAATGCAATGTAATGGAATGTAATGGAATATCATGGAACATAACGGAATACAATGGAATAAAATGGGTATATAATGAAATATAGTGTAATATAATTGAATAATGGCGATATAATGGGATAATAGCTACTTGGAGGATCATACAAATGATGTGGATTGATACCCCAGTATTTAATGCGGTCACAAATGGGGAGATGATAGGGATATAATAAGTACATAGTGGCTATACAAGGAGGAATCGAACAAAAATGGGAAAATAATATGGGATAAAGATCCCATTACAACCATTTAACGCTGAAAAATAATGGGAAATAATGGGAATCAAACAAAATATATGTTCTAGGGTCAAAACATAAAACATGGCTTACGGTTGTCCATCCCATGAAAAATGGGAATCCATGGCCATGGCAGCCATGGCTATAAACATCTCTATGAGAATGGATTAATCATCCCCCAAGGAGACGGAGAAAAGGGATGCTGAAAGTTGCATCACAACCTTAGCGATAGGGGGGGACCAGCCACTTGTTCGCCATGTCCATTTCGAGTCAGCAGAATCTAATTGTTCGCCACTCAGATGTATTTCTATTCCGCTGCGCTTTAGGCGAAAATCCACAGGAAAATATGGTCTCGACCTCTTAAATCACGGGGTTTCTTGCAAAGTTTTTGCTTAGACCAATTGATGTCTCTTGGTGTAAACCGAGAGGTGGCTAATCATCTTAGATAATCAACATAGCTATTGACCATCACAATTTTTTTATGGGTAAATGATCTATAAATTGGGCCATTTTCTATAGCTATGCTAATTTACCAAGCAGGTAATCATCATAGATATGGATAATCCACCATGTAAAGTTCATTTCCAGGCAAATCATTGGCTTGCTGTGCACGTAAACGTTTACCCAGACTACATCCGAAGGTTTTTAAACCTCATGTGTTGTTGGTCGAATATGGTCCAATCATCCCACTTATGACTTTGAGATGCTTTTATCGATCATATTTTGTTTCACCATCCTCTTTAGTTTCACAAACCCTTTCAAACCATTTTACTAAACAACAACTTCAAACCTTTCACCAAACATCATCTTCACTTTTTTGTTGATTTAAACATATCCTTACGCCAATATATTGCTAGGGGGGTTGCCGTGTTGTGTACCTGGTAGATTTATGCTGGTCCTATGCCCGGAGTTTCATCCATGGTACCTGGTTGGGCACGTGCTAAAAAATATCACTTCTAGTGGTAAATCACCATCGCCCAAAAGAAGCAAACATCTAGGGGAGCTGCCATGATACGGTACGGGTGTATTTGAAAATGGGGGGGTTTTACACAACCTAAATGCCCTTTGGTGATTTAACCTAGCGAAAAATGCCTTACAAATGGAGGTTTATAGCTGGGAAAATCATCTATACATGGCGGATTTTCCATTGCCACGGTTGATTATGGCCCATTTATAGATGATTTCCCATTTTATGGTGATTTTCCATAGCAGATGCTTAAATTAACCGAGGATACAGTAGTCATTTCGAAAGGGGCAATGATCATCAACCATGATCAACCATTGTATTTTGGAGTACTCGCTCATTCTACTTGCTTAGAGTTATGTCATATAATATATCCACATGTAATATCACACTATTCTTCCCATAAACTCCCCATGAAATCCGCAAAAAAGAAACGCTTTGTGTCTGGAATTGTGGTCCATGTCACTGAAAAGAACAAGAGCAACTCACTAGACCTCTTCAAATGCAGAAAACTACCAGGTCCCTCGTCTTTTGTTACTTGGCATCCCGGAAAATTACTAGTTCATACAACCCACAAAGCTTAAATAAGGTACAATGTGGTGCCCCATAGGTAGATAAGTTGGTTGATAAGTAGGCGAGCAAATGTTTATGGTAGATATATCGAACTAGTTAATCGGGGCTATAAACCAACTCATAGCCCAAGTTTAAAGTAGAGATATATCTACCATACACCATAGCTATGGTATAACACTGACATATATATATATATAAATATATAAATATATTACACACACATATATATATATATAGATATTACATATATATATAGATTACATATATATTACACACATATATATATTACATATATATTACATATATATATATATTACATATATATATATCACATATATATATATTACATATATATTACATATATATGACATATATATTACATATATATTACATATATATATATATTACATATAAATTACATATATATATATTATATATATATATTACATATATTATATATATATATTACATATATATTACATATATATTACATATATATTACATATATATTACATATACATTATGTATACATGTATAAATTATGTGTATACATGATATCATCCACTTGCAAGTGTTTGGGCATTCCCCCTTACCGACCATGATGCACCTGCAACACAAAAGAACCCGACCAAGGCGCGTGGTTTCGTGCTGCAGGCGCAAGTACTTGTAACCTAGTGTGATCCGGCCATCTGACAAAAACAAATCAGCAAACATGGGATAAAGATGGGAAACCATGAGATTTTAGTTGGGATATCTTTGAGCTAGCTATAGCTATAATGGCCATAGAATGAGGATATACTCTGATACAATGAGTTGATCATCGGACAATCATAGGGATTCAGAAAGCAAGAATGGGATTAAATGGGGATATAATCGTCAAACATGGGCATAATATATATATATATATATGTATATAAATAATAGATATATACGGTCCTTTTTTCACTGCAGTTGAAGGGAAGTTCTACAGGAGACCATCGTTTTCGCCAGCTACTGGGCTCAAATCTAGAGTAGCCTACGGGGACAACATGGGAAGGGCCACACGAAAAACATTCGTCGAATTCCAATTGAATTCACTGAGTTGGAGATAGACCATTACATTAAGCAAAACCTGGATTGACAGACCTCTGATTCATCAAAATGCTGGCAAAAAATATGTTACAGTATTGTCTGTGATTTATGACTCTAAGGGTACTATACCCCGCTCGAACTCGTCAACCAGGTCTTTTTGACCCATCGTCCCAAATATGTCATCCCAGCGAAACCCAGAAAGAGCAACTACAGGAGCAAAAAAATCACATTTTCCCGGCGTGAGTGCGTGAATAACAGGCTGGTTCCCCTTGCCAACCGTCATTGATGCTGAGATTGGCCAGTGAAAACATGATCATTTGCACTTGCGGATGGCCCTACGGGCTAATCCACCCTCACGAATCCATGAAAAAAATCGACTTCGGGGCTGTATTGTCAGCAACCTTATTCACATAGCCATAACTTGACAGAAATTGAAGTATCCGGCCCGATTTGAGACATCCATGGGATCCCATAAAACATCCTCTGCGGGCGTTTCGGCTGGTGCTGCGTCCTCCATCATTCGCTCTAGCT